GCTATAAAGGTCCTTTTGCCGGATAGGAACTAGATTTCTCACTGTGAGCTGTCTAGTTCCTATCCCTGTAAGGGACTTGTGTAAGCTGGAGCTATAGAGTTTCAGGACCAGGTGAGCACCACATTTATTATTCTACATCCGTTCGTTTATTGCCACAGTCTGCACATTGGTTTGTTCTCCTTTTATGTTTTACTTATGAGAACTACTCCAAGCCGAAGTCAAAGGGTTGTGCTACCAAAATAAGCACACAAGCCTAAATACGGAGCCAGTTTCTATACACAGGCTCCTTAAAATGTGAGTGTTCTGTTTGCTACATTATTTTCAGAATTGCAATTTTAAAATACCATCTGCACTATATTGTATCTTTAGTTTTTTGTATTTTATTGGCATGTACTTCACAGCATACTATTGAAATAAGTTATGCTTGTTAAGCTTTATATCTGTTTGAGCGCCCCACTTATAGGTGTAGGTCTTTGTCACTTATACCGCACTGTATTTCATATTATTGTTTAGTGGAAAATAGGATATTTCCACATAAGTGTATAGAGCTGCATTTTAACCGTTCTTATTTACGTTTAAGCACTTCTTGATACACACATCCCTCCGTGAAAGGAGGTAACTTTGGATTGGTATTCATATTACGTTATTAGATCACAGCCATCGGTCTCTGGGCATATTACGTTATTAAATCACAGCCATCGGTCTCTGGGCATATTACGTTATTAGATCACAGCCATCGGTCTCTGGGTATATTACGTTATTAGATCACAGCCATCGGTCTCTGGGCATATTACGTTATTAGATCACAGCCATCGGTCTCTGGGCATATTACGTTATTAGATCACAGCCATCGGTCTCTGGGTATATTACGTTATTAGATCACAGCCATCGGTCTCTGGGTATATTACATTATTAGATCACAGCCATTGGTCTCTGGGTATATTACGTTATTAGATCACAGCCATCGGTCTCTGGGTATATTACGTTATTAGATCACAGCCATCGGTCTCTGGGTATATTACGTTATTAGATCACAGCCATTGGTCTCTGGGCATATTACGTTATTAGATCACAGCCATCGGTCTCTGGGTATATTACGTTATTAGATCACAGCCATCGGTCTCTGGGTATATTACGTTATTAGATCACAGCCATCGGTCTCTGGGTATATTACATTATTAGATCACAGCTATCGGTCTCCGGGTATAATGCCATTAGATCACAGCCGCCAGTCTCCGGCTATAGTATGCTATTAGAAGACAGCCGCAGGTCTCTGGGAATATTACATTATTATATTATAATCGGGGGTCTCTGGGTATATTACAATCGGGGTCTCTGGGTATATTACGGTATGATTATATTTGGGTATATAAATTACATATTATACTCACCAGTCACTCTCTGGGTAAGTGTCTGACTGCAGTTCAGTCTGTCTCTCAGTGTGATGCTGTCGGCTGGTTTCTCTCTGTCAGTGAGGTTGTCTCTCTCACTGTTAAAGTCTCTCAGGATGTCTCTCTGTAAGAGTCACTCAGTCAGTCTGTCTCTCCCAGGCTGTGTGTCTGTCTCTCTGTCTCACACTCCGTCTCTGACTCTCTCTCAGTCAGTAAATCTCTCTCTCTGTCTCTCTGACTCTCTCTCTCAGTCTCTCTCTCTGTCTCAGTCTGTCTCTCTGACTCTCTCAGTCTGTCTCTCTCTCAGTCTGTCTCTCTGTCTCTCAGTTTCTCTCTCTGTCTCAGTCTGACTCTCAGTCTGTCTGTCTCTCACTGTCTCAGTCTGTGTCTGTCTCTCTCTCTCTCTCTCTCAGTCTCTCTCAGTGTGTCTCTGACTCTCTCAGTCAGTAAATCTATCTCTCTCTCTCTGACTCTCTCTCAGTCAGTAAATCTCTCTCTCTCTCTCTCTCTCTCTCTCTGACTCTCTCTCTGTCTCAGTCTCTCTGACTCTCTCTCTCTGTCTGACTCTCTCTGTCTCTGTCTGTCTCTCAGTTTCTCTCTCTGTCTGTCTCAGTCTCTCTCAGTGTGTCTCTGAGTCAGTCAGTCTCTCTCTCTCTCTCTCTCTCTCTCAGTGTCTCAGTCTGTCTGACTCTCAGTCTCTCTGACTCTCTCTCTCAGTGTCTCAGTCTCTCTGACTCTGACTCTCTCTCTCTCTGTCTCTGTTTGACTCTCAGTCTGTCTGTCTCTCTCTGTCTCTGACTCTCTCGGTCCCGGGTTTGTAGCCGGATGTGGCGCCTCCTGTAACGGTCCACCAGCGAGATGACGTCACCGAAGAGGAAGCCGAACTCGGGAAACAACTTCCGCTGTCTCCTAGCAACGAAATACGTCATCACCGAGCGACGACAGGAACTGACACGTGACGGGAGAGAACCCAGAGCGCAATACGGAGACAGTGAGTACAATACAGAGACAGAGCGTAATACGGAGACAGCGAGTACAATACAGAGACAGAGCGTAATACGGAGACAGTGAGTACAATACAGAGACAGAGCGTAATACGGAGACAGTGAGAACAATACAGAGAGCGGGTATTATACCCAGAGCGTAATACGGAGACAGCGAGTACAATACAGAGAGCAGGTATTATACCCAGAACGTAATACGGAGACAGTGAGTACAATACAGAGAGCGGGTATTATACCCAGAACGTAATACGGAGACAGCGAGTACAATACAGAGAGCAGGTATTATACCCAGAACGTAATACGGAGACAGCGAGTACAATACAGAGACAGAGCGTAATACGGAGACAGCGAGTACAATCCAGAGAGCGGGTATTATACCCAGAGCGTAATACGGAGACAGCGAGTACAATACAGAGAGCAGGTATTATACCCAGAGCGTAATACGGAGACAGCGAGTACAATACAGAGAGCAGGTATTATACCCAGAGCGTAATACGGAGACAGCGAGTACAATACAGAGAGCAGGTATTATACCCAGAGCGTAATACGGAGACAGCGAGTACAATACAGAGAGCAGGTATTATACCCAGAGCGTAATACGGAGACAGCGAGTACAATACAGAGAGCAGGTATTATACCCAGAGCGTAATACGGAGACAGCGAGTTCAATACAGAGAGCAGGTATTATACCCAGAGCGTAATACAGAGACAGCGAGTACAATACAGAGCAGGTATTATACCCAGAGCTGCATTACTTGAGACACAGCGAAAGTACAATACAGAGAGCAGGTATTATACCCAGAGCGCAATACAGAGACAGCCGCAGTGGCCAATACAGACAGAGCCGCACGAGACAGCCGAAAATACTACAGAGACAGAGCTGCACACGGAGAGACAGCGAGTACAATACAGAGAGCGGGTATTATACCCAGAGCGTAATACGGAGACAGCGAGTACAATCCAGAGAGCGGGTATTATACCCAGAGCGTAATACGGAGACAGCGAGTACAATCCAGAGAGCGGGTATTATACCCAGAGCGTAATACGGAGACAGCGAGTACAATACAGAGAGCGGGTATTATACCCAGAGCGTAATACGGAGACAGCGAGTACAATACAGAGAGCGGGTATTATACCCAGAGCGTAATACGGAGACAGCGAGTACAATACAGAGAGCGGGTATTATACCCAGAGCGTAATACGGAGACAGCGAGTACAATACAGAGAGCGGGTATTATACCCAGAGCGTAATACGGAGACAGCGAGTACAATACAGAGAGCGGGTATTATACCCAGAGCGTAATACGGAGACAGCGAGTACAATACAGAGAGCGGGTATTATACCCAGAGCGTAATACGGAGACAGCGAGTACAATACAGAGAGCGGGTATTATACCCAGAGCGTAATACGGAGACAGCGAGTACAATACAGAGAGCGGGTATTATACCCAGAGCGTAATACGGAGACAGCGAGTACAATACAGAGACAGAGCGTAATACGGAGACAGCGAGTACAATACAGAGACAGAGCGTAATACGCAGACAGCGAGTACAATACAGAGAGCAGGTATTATACCCAGAGCGTAATACGGAGACAAGCGAGTACAATACAGAGAGAGGGTATTATACCCAGAGCGTAATACGGAGACAGGTATTATACCCAGAACGTAATACGGAGACAGCGAGTACAATACAGAGAGCAGGTATTATACCCAGAACGTAATACGGAGACAGCGAGTACAATACAGAGAGCAGGTATTATACTCCGTAATACGGCGACAGGGGGCGTAATACGGCGACAGGGGGCGTAATACGGCGACAGGGCGTAACACAGAGACAGCGAGTACAATATAGAGAGCAAGTATTATACCCAGAGCGTAATACAGAGAGTGTAAGACGGAGCGTGACACGGAGACGAGGGATCCTATACAGAGCGTAACACAGAGTGCAGGGATTATATACAGGGCGTAACACAGAGTACAGGGATTATATACAGAGGGTGACATGGAAAGTAGTGCCTGGCCTTGCGCCGTGGTTGGAAAGTAGTGCCTGCGATATGGTCGTGGATGGAGAGTAGTGCCTGGGATAGCGCAGTGGTTGGAAAGTAGTGCCTGTGATACGGTCGTGGATGGAGAGTCGTGCCTGGGATAGCACCGTGGATGGAAAGTAGTGCCTGGGATAGCGCCTTGGATGGAAAGTAGTGTGCCTTCATTTTGGATTTATGACCGATTTAAAGCCGTTCTATATGTATAAAGTATGCCTGTATGTATTTATATTTAGAATATAACCAGCAGGGATCCTATACAGAGTGTAATACAGAGAGCAGGGATCCTATACAGTGTGTAATACAGAGAGCGGGGATCCTATACAGAATGTAACACAGAGAGCGGGGATCCTATACAGAGTGTAACACAGAGAGCGGGGATCCTATACAGAGTGTAACACAGAGAGCGGGGATCCTATACAGTGAGTAACACAGAGAGCGGGGATCCTATACAGAGCGTAACACAGAGAGCGGGGATCCTATACAGAGCGTAACACAGAGACCGGGGATCCTATACAGAGCGTAACACAGAGACCGGGGATCCTATACAGAGTAATACAGAGCGTAACACAGAGAGCGGGGATCCTATACAGAGCGTAACACAGAGAGCGGGGATCCTATACAGAGCGTAACACAGAGAGCGGGGATCCTATACAGAGCGTAACACAGAGAGCGGGGATCCTATACAGAGCGTAACACAGAGAGCGGGGATCCTATACAGAGCGTAACACAGAGAGCGGGGATCCTATACAGAGCGTAACACAGAGAGCGGGGATCCTATACAGAGCGTAACACAGAGAGCGGGGATCCTATACAGAGCGTAACACAGAGAGCGGGGATCCTATACAGAGTGTAACACAGAGAGCGGGGATCCTATACAGAGTGTAATACAGAGAGCGGGGATCCTATACAGAGTGTAATACAGAGAGCAGGGATCCTATACAGAGCGTAATACAGAGAGCAGGGATTCTATACAGAACGTAACACAGAGTACAGGGATTATATACAGGGCGTGACATGGAAAGTAGTGCCTGGCCTAGCGCTGTGCATGTAAAGTAGTGCCTGCGATACGATCGTGGATGGAGAGTAGTGCCTGGGATAGCACCGTGGATGGAAAATAGTGCCTGGGATAGCGCCGTAGATGGAAAGTAGTGCCTGGGATAGCGCCGTGGATGGAAAGTAGTGCCTGGGATAGCGCCGTGGATGGAAAGTAGTGCCTGGGATAGCGCCGTGGATGGAAAGTAGTGTGCCTTCATTTTGGATTTATGACCGATTTAAAGCCGTTCTATATGTATAAAGTATGCCTGTATGTATTTCTATTTAGAATATAACCAGCTGCGTGCTCATTGTGGAAAGCTGCGATATTGAGATTGATTTATAATCTAACCTGTAACGGACCGTTTTGCACATAAGGGGTAAAAACCGTTTAGGCAATCGTCCCCCTTTCCAGAGATGCAGGCACAGCTACTGTAGCACACCAAACACATGAACCGCCAATAAGGGAATGCTCCAAACTCCCGAATGGCATCCAATATAGCACTCCAAATACACGAACAGGAACCATGCGAATCGCTGCTAGAAGACGAATAGGAAAAGCATCCAAGCGGCTTACACTCCTAGCAATCAGTCTCTATCAGCATTCAGTAAATCCCCCCCCCCCCCAAAGACAAGACAAGGCTCCGTGTTGAGGGTCAAGCAGTGGTCTGTTTAATGAGGGCTACCTGACCGGCTTTTATGCAGGTCTCCCACCTGGTGGACACTCCCCTAGGGGACCAAATGGGAGACTGTGACAAGGGGCAGACAAATAGGACACACAGTCACAATATATTCCCACAATGCATCCTGGCTTCCTCCCCTTTGTCCTGGGAGATAATTGAGAAGTAATTCAATTATCTCCCAAGACAAAGGCAAATCACCATTATGCACGTTGGGATACTAAAACAAGCATTACTATTAAAATACACTATGTAAGACACATTACATTAAAACTATACATTTAACATATCCCCAGATAGCTCAGGTTTGAGCGCACATTATTAAGCGAATGGCGCTCAGACCACACGAATACAGTTTAATCGCCATGGAGCCAAAGTCTTTAATTCCACGAACAGGCTCCATGGCAGGCTATCTTGGTACTTGCACACCGAATACAATTGCAGCACTAAAAGTCCCAAATGCTCCGTTGTTCGGTTCCCGAACGGGTTTGCAAACTTCCAGCCTCAGTGGGGCTTGTAAGACAAGTGTCCGCTTTTGGTGTCCTGCCGCTGGGTAGAACAAGTGCTGGCTACCCGGGGAGCTTCCATAACACCGCCATCGTGTGGCGGCTAGGTGTAACCGCGACCACCCAGTAATTGTCAATTAAGCTGCGGTTAACCGCAGCTTCAGGGAGGTTAATTGCCGGCACACTCCAGCTCCCAGGTGGTCTATTCATTCGTGCGGTTGTTCGGTAGATTGAATCTACCGAACAACCGGCAGAAAAGCACGAATACAGCCCTTCTGCAGGCAAAACAGTCTTTTAACATGGGGGCCATAGTCCAAAGGCAGCAGGTGAGCAACCAGGCTTCTCCAATGCAATGTGGCGAGATTGGTCTCGTCACATAACCGAAAGGAAAAAAAATGTTTAAGAAATTACTTGTGGAAGAGAATTTTTTTATATATTGAAGTGCGTTTTATATATACACATTTTTTATTTTCAGGCTGCATATTATGACTTCTCTGGAAGAGGAATTAAAACAGCTGCGTCTGAGGGTGCAGGAGCTGGAGGATGAGGTTTTTCGTCTGGGAAATGCATCAGGCGCGGTGGGAAGCGGAGAGTGCCTCTCTGTCGAGAAGCAGCCTAAAGGAAAGCAGAAGCCACGTGTTCAGCGACCATTTGATTTTTCAGCCCACCCAAAGCAACATGTGGCTTTGCGCTTGGCATATCTTGGCTGGGGGTACCATGGTTTTGCCAGCCAGGAGAACACAAAAAACACAGTGGAGGAGGTGGTATTCAATGCCCTCATGAAAACACGTTTGGTTGAAAACAGACAGGACTCAAACTACCACCGGTGTGGCAGAACAGACCGTGGTGTCAGTGCACTCAGCCAGGTGAGGTTTTTGTAATGGGAATATGGTATGCAGGATTTGTGATGATCTTGGCCATACTGACTGCCCTGTGTTTTCTAGGTGATATCTCTGGATCTCCGATCAAATCCACCTGGCATGCCGGAGATAAGATATACTCACATCCTGAACCGTGTGCTTCCTCCTGATATTAGAGTCCTGAGCTGGGCCAAAGTTCCCTCTTCATTCAGTGCTCGCTTTAGCTGCCGCTCTCGCACATACCGCTATTTGTTTCCAAGGGCACAGCTCGACATAGAGGCGATGGATAGAGCTGCACGACTTCTCCAAGGAACTCATGATTTCCGCAACTTATGCAAGATGGACGTGGCCAATGGGGTTCTAAACTTTACCCGTACCATACTCCGTGCCACAGTGGGTCCTGTGCCAGACCTTCCAGGAGATGTACAACCCATTCAACTCTGCCAACTGGAGATCACTGGTCTGGCCTTTCTCTACCACCAGGTTCGGTGCATTATGGGTGTACTGTTCCTGATCGGACAACGAAGGGAAAAACCAGAAGTGATCAGAGAACTGCTGGATGTGGAGACAAATCCTTGCAAACCCCAGTACAAGTGAGAGAAGGGAGGGGGATGGTGTTTGGGTTCATGACAGCCTGCAATGTAAATAGCTGAGGATGGATGGGAGCTGCTTGATTGGGTGATGGCAATTAATATGATGTAACATTCTCTCTTTCAGTATGGCGGTGGAACTCCCGCTGGTGCTGTATGACTGTCAGTTTAATGATGTAGACTGGATCACAGAAAGGGACACACAAAGCTTCCTTGTTTCACACCTGCAGCGTCTCTGGACCCAGGAAGCCGTAAAAACACAGATATTGCACATGGTGCTTGGCCGGCTGGATTCTGTTTCTGTCAGAGGTATTTATGCCTTTCTTTCTTTCTTGTGTTTTCTAGAATTCCATCTTCAAGAAATAAAGTGACAATGAGCTTTATTTATTAAACAGAATTGCAAATGTACAGCCAGGTTTGCAAAACTTCTTTCCCCCTCCCCCCCCAAAAAAAACTGTTGTTGCCATAAACTTGCAATTTGGTTTTCAGTTTACTGCATAAAGGGATATACTCTATCTATCCTTCCCTTTTTCCACATTTCTATAAGCTGTGACACGCTTCTCCGAACACGATTAGCCCAGGAGAGATACAAAACATTGTCTAGCCTACATCCATAGATAGACTGTGTAATGGACCGCCTGGCACGCCAACTGAGCACCTCCGCCAAGGACCACTTCCCAGCTGGAACAGGGGACAAACCGCAGCACTTCTTGCCCTCAGTCACCATGGCTTGACTGGGGTCCTGGAACCGCCACCTCCTTCCTGAAGCCGAATGGCCTGGGAACTCTGGAACCGAATGGGAAATTAGCTCTAGTGCTTTCAAGGACTTTCCCTGTTGAATCTCCTGCAAGCTGGAACAGCAGACACAGGAGTAAATCTTCTTTCCCTCCAATAACAGGACAACACACAGTTTTTATAAAGTACCCCAAAATACAACATAGCCCCATAAAAGTCACATCCCCGGATCTGGGTGAACAACATATCCTAAAATCACCCAGATCAGATCAGAGCAGGGGTTCAGGAAATCCCTGGAAGTCTCTTTTTGACCGACCGCACGCATGGTTTCATGCCTAAAACAGTTCCAGAGAATCAGGGCTTGCAGCCGGTCTAGTTCGGTAGTTTGCAAACGAACAAACTACCGAGCAGAGGCAATAGTCTTACCCTGGAGCTAGACGAATGATCTCACCGAACAGTGCCCTTCTAAGCTGAATAGAAACGAACGCAGGTGATGATGGAAGTCCAGCGGTGTTCGGGAGTTTCTGTATCCGATTTTAGTTCCATGAGACTTATGCCCAAACACCGCTGCCTGCGTTCATGCGAACAAGATGGCTGCCACCTCGTGGTTGTTCATAGGAATCGCGGCCACCCAGATGAACAATTAGAACACAGCGATGAGAAACGTTCCAAGTTAATAGGTGTAAACAAACTCGAGGGTGGTCTCTGTTTGTGCGGTTGTTCGGTAAATTAACCATATAGTCCCAATTGCAGAGCCTGTTTGAGGTATATTAGCCAGTGTAACGGATCACCTGGCACCCCAACTGGGTATCTCCCTTGAAGGATGCTCCTAGCGCTTCCTGAGGATTCCAAGCACTCTAGCCAACACCACAACCACCGCAGGCCGAACCTCTCTTCCTTCAGAGTGAAGCAGGAACGAGTTCTTAAAAGAAATTAGGAGTGATTTATAGCAAGGGAATATGCAGAGCCTAGCAATCCCTTGTAGCAGATTCCCCCAATAAGAGACAGGACTCCAAATTGAGGGTGAAGTAGAACTGTCTAAAACGTTATTTTACTTGGGACTAGTCCATATGGTCATTACATTAACATTGCTGTGAAAACTCAATAAAATTACAAACAGTCAAATCATAGCAGACAACATACAGTGAATTATAACTTAATTACATATTTATAAATGGGTGGGGAAGACCATAATTAACACACAATGTCTCTCCTGCATGCAGAATTTGCGATATGCAAATCTACCCGAATATGCAAATTACCAGTCTTGCTATTCAGGTAGTGCATATTACTGTTGCTACCAACAGAGGGCACTATACAAGCTCCATAGCCAAATCCACCTAGTTGGTAGCAATTCTCAGCAGTACAGGAGAGCAGGCAATACATCCCAGGGGCCATAGTCACATGGCAGGAGGCTGGCAATCAGTCTTCTCCAATGCCCAGTGGCAAGGCTGGTTCCGCCACATTTCTCCCCTTTTCCAAACAGACTAACAGAGTATCTGACCTCCTGCCGGTCAGTGCCCTGGTTAGTTCAGCAACCCACCCACGAAACACAAACAGTAATACAGCCCACCCACAATACATGGTTACTACACCTGGGTAAAAGATTAGCTCGTCCAGGTGCCTCACCACGGCTGTGTGGGGTACTGATAGGTTGCCTTGGTGGGTTGCTCTGGTGCCAGCGCTACCACGGGAGTAGCCTGGTTGGAGCCATGCTGAAAAGAAGAGTTGGTAGGCTCCTCTCTTGAGATCTGGGGCTGCTGCTGGAGGGGGAGACTGACTTTCTCCCCTTTGGCTAAACAGCCCTGCTGCTGGGGGACAGGACCGACTGTCCCTACTCCTGGTGGTGCATGTGCAGAGACCACGGTCCCATCTGCACTGATGTGGAGCCTACTGTCTCCCCTTGGTGGGCGAAGCTGCCGCTGGGGAGAGGGGGGTAACAAGCTCCTCTCCCATACATACTTTCAACCGCTGGGGAGAGGGAGTAACAAGCTCCTCTCCCATACATACTTTCAACCGCTGGGGAGAGGGAGAAACAAGCTCCTCTCCCATACATACTTTCAGCCGCTGGGGAGAGGGAGTAACAAGCTCCTCTCCCATACATACTTTCAACCGCTGGGGAGAGGGAGTAACAAGCTCCTCTCCCATACATACTTTCAACCGTTGGGGAGAGGGAGTAACAAGCTCCTCTCCCATACATACTTTCAGCCGCTGGGGAGAGGGGATAACAAGCTCCTCTCCCTGACACTCTCTCTGCTGTTGGAGAGGGGGACCGACTGTCTCCCCCTTCAATATATTGTCCCGCTGCTGGGGAGCGAGACAGACTGTCTCTGCTCCCTGCCGGACACACTGCTGCTGGGGAGGAAGGACGGTACCTTCAGCTCCCTGGGACTCACTGGACTGCTGGGGAGACTGACCAACTGTCTCCTCTCCTAAGGAGACACACTGCTGCTGGGGAGGAAGGACGACACCTTCAGCTCCCTGTAACACACACTGCCGCTGGGGAGGAAGGACTGAACCTTCGGCTCCCTGGGACTCACTGGACTGCTGGGGAGAGGGACCAACTGTCTCCTCTTCTAAGGACACACACTGCTGCTGGGGAGGAAGGACGGCACCTTCAGCTCCCTGGGAAACATACTGCCGCTGGGGGAAGGACGGCACCTTTGTCTCCCTGTAACTCACTGGACTGCTGGGGAGAGGGACCAACTGTCTCCTCTCCTAAGGACACACACTGCCGCTGGGGAGCGGCACCTTCAGCTCCCTGGGATACATACTGCCGCTGGGGATCTGGGCGACTGCCCAGCATCCCTGTAGGGCCGGTAGAGAGACCTCGGTCCCATCTCCACCTGCCAGCTGGTTGTCTTCCCAGGACAAGTCAATAAGGTCTTCCATCTCTGGGGCTGGTTGGGACGTATGTGGTACAGTACCAAGGTCCCCTGATAACAGGCTTGGTTGCTGGGGAGGAGGAACTAAACTCAATGCTTCCAGTGGTATACAGTCAATAAGCCCCATCATGTCAGAGACAGGCGGCGTTGTACGTTGGAATAGGCAAACATAATCCTGTTCTAGTTCCCACTCCCGGTTGGCAAGAATAGATAGATCTGGCTGAATGGCATCGATCTCCGTAAGGTCCCAGTTGTCTGCCCGCTCAGCACGGATGGACCAGAAGCGAGCAATGTCGGTGTCTCCGAACCAGAGACTAGTTTCAATAGTATCCCACAACAAACCAGGGCCATCGATCAATACACTTGTACTCGATCAGCCATGGGTAGAGGTGGTAAGCATTCCACTGCAGGGCCCGATAGAAATCATCCAGCCACACCTCAGTCTCAACTAGCGTCTCCAGTTCGCTTACCCATTCCTCTGAGGGCTGGTTTCCCAATAACTGCATCTGCAGCTCTAGTTGTTCTGCTTGGCGCTGGTTAGTGGTCAGGATTTCCTCACACCGGAAGGATCGAATTTCGTCCTTCCAGAAATCGGTACGAAGTGCCACCCTCCACTCTGTCTCTCTTTCCTCTGGGATAGGATACTCCATACTGCGCATCACATCCTGTAGTCACTGCTGGAGCCTGGTGTCAAAGTGAGATACTGCACGGCCTTCCTTCTCTGAAGTAGTGCTAGGAAGTAGTAGGGCTAGGAAGCCATCCCACCGCTGCCAACAATGTAACGGATCACCTAGCACCCCGACTGGGTACCTCCGTTGAAGGATGCTCCTATCGCTTCCTGAGGATTCCAAGCACTCTAGCTGACACCACAACCACCGGAGGCCGAACCTCTCTTCTTTCAGAGTGAAGCAGGAACGAGCTCTTAAAAGAGCTTAAGAGTGATTATAACAAGGGAATATACAGAGCATAGCAATCCCTTGTAACAGATTCCCCCAATAAGAGACAGGACTCCAAATTGAGGGTGAAGTAGAACTGTCTAAAACTTTATTTTACTTGGGACTAGCCCATATGGTCATTACATTACCATTGCTGTGAAAACTCAATAAAATTACAAACAGTCAAATCATAGCAGGCAACATACAGTGACTTATAATTACATATTTATAAATGGGTGGGGAAGACCATAATTAACACAAAATGTCTCTCCTGAATACAGAATTAGCGATATGCAAATCTACCCGAATATGCAAATTACCAGTCTTGCTATTCAGGTAGTGCATATTACTGTTGCTAGCAACAGAGGGCACTACACAAGCTCCATAGCCAAATCCAGCTAGTTGGTAGCAATCCTCAGCAGTACAGGAGAGCAGGCAATACATCCCAGGGGCCATAGTCACATGGCAGGAGGCTGGCAATCAGTCTTCTCCAATGCCCAGTGGTGAGGCTGGTTCCGCCACAGCCAGTTTTATTGCAGGGGCCATAGTCGCAGGGTAAAAGGCTGGCAAGTAGTCTCCTCCAAGAACTCGTGGCAAACTCCCTTGAAAAGGGGAGCTTGTCACAGACTGTAATGAGTACTTCTAGAATAATTAGAACTAATGTTATTCTAAGAACTCTCTCTAGACTAATGCCAAGAATACAGAAATAGACATTGATGTTAGATGTGGTTAAGAGATGGAGAGAACTCCAAGCAAAAGACCGGATACCATCTTTCTCCTACAAGGGGAAAAAAATCTCCAACCATAAAACTGTTCAATAAACTCTTTAAGTGAGCTGTGCCCAGTCTAAAAAGAAACTGGCACCTTTTGGACAATCCTGATCTTTTTATTGTTTTCAAAGGGAGTTTAGAATATATATCAGAAAATATGAAAGAAGCTTCGACCTCACCTTACCCCATACTTAATTTTGAATGGAATATATATCACATACACACACAATGGTGACATCATGCACAGTAAACAATACAAAAAAGAAAATAGAAACACACATTTGTTAAAGAGAGAAAAAAAAATTGTCACAAGACAATAGTTAAATGACATAGTTTTGGCAGAATAACATTCTCATAAAACCATCTTGTACGTCAGTATAATAATACATACAATACAAGTTGTTTTACAAAGCCTTTTATTGTGTATCGCAGCAAATAAACAATTCATGCCTCGATGTCCCCCATGTCACATGTTGGAAGGCCATTTGGCCTGAATTTGTGGGAGGAGTCATGACCCTATATAAACCCTACCCCCCTATTTACCTTTGCCGTTCAAGCTTTTTTTTCTGTCTCCATAGTTACCTGCACTTCCGGTCCGTTGTTCCCACCAGTCCTACCTCTAGCAAACAGTCTGTCTTCGGCAGCTCCTACTGCCGACCTCCGGGCTCGTCCACCGGCTGCCCCGCCATATTCATTACCTGTTCCCGGCTATCTGGCTTCCGGTCACAAGACCGGCGCGCACACATAAGCATCAACGTGGGAAATAGCATTCGGCTATTTTCCACGGTCGGGCCTAAAAACGCGGGGATAGGCTCCCCATATTACTTTGTGTAATGACGCCGTTCGTGTACTTCTGCGTTCGTGCGGCTATCAGCCGACCGCAGAGTACACACGCTTTCTTTTGCTCTCGTTAAGTAATTTACCAACCGCTTATACTCACCTACGTTGGCCTGTTTCTTACACAAGTTCGTTTAGCCGAACACATACAATCTTTCGTTTGCTCCTAAATCTAACTATTACACACGGTCCTATTATATCCCTCTTGCACGTTTGGTTAGCCGAACGCAAGAGGTTTTAAGCATTTTTTTTTTTTTATATAAGTTAAGTATGTTCCTCCATATTATTTCTTTGAAATATTTATGTACACGGTTCTCCCTACGGTTTCCTTAAATCTGTGTGGCACTATTCACCCCCCATTTTCACATTTAATTATGGATAATTTCCCAGGGGTTTTCTCTTAAAGAAACAGTTGGCCCCTATACGCTTGTAATATCAATAGGCTGAGCCACCATCAAGCCTCTTAATTTTATCCAGCTCCACGCTTAGTTTGTTCATTGGCTCATATTTCTTAAATCTCTGTCTAAATTAAAACTTTATACCCGGTTCCTTGTACTTAAATATAAATATGTTTTAGGTCTACTACTCTTAGGTTACCATTTTTACATTTCTCCTGAGGCCTCATTCAGCCTCCACGGCCTTTTTTACAAATCCTCTCCCACCTCCCAAAGTGGGTTACAAACACACCATGTGTAAAGAGGCCTCACCTCTTTATCATTTCTACATATAATTTCTACATATCATTACTTAGACCTGCGCCATTTCACAGACTCACTACGCCAACAACAACCAGCAGGCTTCCTGGTCCCGGCGTTTCAGTTTCAGGTATCATTAATCTTACTCACTATGATTACATTCCTTTTAAGGCCTCACTTTGCCTCCGTATCATTCACAAGTAATGTACATTTGTGGGAACCCAGGGGCTAAAGTTTTGGACCAACGTTCAGTTCCTCAGCTTACACAGGTTCTTACTCTACAGTTTCTCTATTACACACTTCTCCATACGTTCGACATTTTTACACTTGGTATACCAGTGGCACGTCTCAGGTCTACTAGCATCTTTCTTACCCCTAGGTTCCTGGACTGGACCTATTGTTTGTAAAATATATATATATATATATATATGTATATATGTATTAAGGCCGTTTGGCCTGTATTTGTGGGAGGGGCTTAAATTAATTCACTCCCCTATATAAGGGTCACCCCTTACCTGACTCATATCGCTTGAGGTCAGCATCAGAATGATTTCCACTTCCGGGTCATCCAGACGCCATTTTACCTCCATGAGGTTTTCTAAGCTGAGCTGTGTCAGGAATCCAGCCACAGGCTTTTCCGGCCTACCACCTTCTTTCTTCAGTCCATCGCCGTGGATGGTGTCCAAGTGACTCACAAACCGTAAGTCGACCGACCCGCTACGCCAGGCATCAGTCCCACGGCACCATGCACGGGTCAGGTCCTCACTTTACGGCTGCATTTTGTCTAAGTCTGTTCTAAAACCATTGCATGTTCATGCATATCAATCGTTGAAACCCCCTACCGGTCTTTGGGTGTACTACAGGCTTCTTAGACATTATCACATTTCATGTACAAACCAAGGAACCACTGCATTTTCGCCTACACACTGACCCCTACCGGTCATTCGGTGTAATACAGGCTTCTCAGACATTATTGCATTTCATGTACAAACCAACGAACCACCGCATTTTTCACCTACACGGTGACCCCTATCGGCCATTCGGTGTACTACAGGCTTCTTAGACGTTTTTTTGCATTTTCATGTACAAACCAATAAACCACTGCATTTACACCTACACACTGACCCCTACTGGTCTTTCGGTGGACTACAGGCTTCTTAGACATTATCGCATTTCATGTACAAATCAACAAACCACTGCATTTTCACCTACACACTGACCCCTACTGGTCTTTTGGTGTACTACAGGCTTCTTAGACATTATCGCATTTCATGTACAAATCAACGAACCACTGCATTTGCGCCTACACACTGACCCCTACCGGTCATTCGGTGTACTACAGGATTCTCAGACATTATTGCATTTCATGTACAAACCAATAAACCACTGCATTTTTCACCTACACACTGACCCCTACCGGTCATTCAGTGTACTACTGTCTTCTCAGACATTATTGCATTTCATGTACAAACCAACGAACCACTGCATTTGCGCCTACACACTGACCCCTACCGGTCATTCTGTGTACTACAGGCTTCTCAGACATTATTGCATTTCATGTACAAACCAACGAACCACGGCATTTTTCGCCTACACGCTGACCCCTGCCGGTTAATCGGTATACTACAGGCTTCTCAGACTTTATTTCACTTCATAAGCAAACAAACTAACTACAGCATTTTCGCTTTTATACTGACTTCTATCTGTCAAACCGTAGGATTAATCCCTTAAGGACACATGACATGTGTGACATGCCATGATTCCCTTTTATTCCAGAAGTTTGGTCCTTAAGGGGTTAAAGTGTATTTTTACCATACAATCAGCATTTCTGGCCCCTACTGGTCAACAGCAAAACTGTCTTCACATGTCATATACAATTTACCAGCCAATATAAATTACACATAAGATTGTTTTAAACATAACCATAAACCATAAATTTAAACTCCAGCACGGGCTCAACTTCAGGTTTAATTCACAATAATTCCTAGATTTTACTATTAACATGACGTAAAGTCATGATTTTATTAAAGACACGGAGGCGAGTATTATGCTTCTCTTTCTTTAATTCTCCCTCAGCAGCGAAGAGAGATATATGCAAAAGAGAGAAAAAATAACAATAACATTAGCATATGGAACAGTGCTCATAGGTATCCACCCCCTTAGTATATAAGGTGTAGCACTCCATGCTTCTTCCTCTTTCTTCCGTGATCCGAAGACCAGATCCATAACCGAACTGTAACTTGGCCCAAACAGGAACAGTGGGCGATAGGTAATGTCCAATCCTTGAGGTTAGACTGTAACGCTTTGTAACGGAAATTCACCCCTTTGACCGTATGATTCAGGCTAAAAGAGAGGAGAAAATATGGTAATATATGGTCGGCAACTGGTTGCATTATGTATCCCCATGTAGGTAAAAACTAAGTCGTACAAAGTAGTAGTCATGTCGGCATAAGAGAAAGTAAGATATGATTATGTCTACTATATCACAAAATCACCTACCTGAGAGACGTATGAGCGCACCTTCAGGTATCTATATTGTAGGAGTCCACCTGATCTGTGGTTGGTATCCGTTGAGAAAAACCAATCCCTCCACCCAGGGAGGGTGGGAGGGAATAATACTCGCCTCCGTGTCTTTAATAAAATCATGACTTTACGTCATGTTAATAGTAAAATCTAGGAATTTTATTAAAGACACGGAGGCTCCTATTATGCTCTTTCAAAGCTGAGCAATGACTCTTTCCGGGAAATGTTGGATTGGTTTAAAATAGAAATTCCGGAATGTGGATTCCGTAGACCAGTCTGCGGCCTTCAGGATGTCTTCTAACCGGCACCCTACTGTCGATGCTTTAGAAGCCATAGCGCCTCTGACCGAATGGGCCGAAAAAATTGTAACGTCTATCCCGGCCGAGGCCAATAACCATTTGGCCCAACGGGCGAGAGTAGGTGTGGATACTGGTAGGTGCGGTTTCTTTAGTGAAATGAACAAAGGGCCGTAGTTTGACGGTCTTAGGGAAGAAGTACGGGTTTCGTATTCTTTTAAGCATAGAATTGGGCACAGCTTCGGTTGGTGCGGGAGGTGTGGATAGAAAACTTGTTTAGTCGCTGATTTAGTTCTTCTTGAAATATCGAAAGACACCCCTTCTGGAGTGAATAAGCGGGCTAGCCAGTCCAAAGCCCTTACATCTGACACGCGTTTACAGGATAATAAACATAAAATCATGAGTAGTTTAGCGGACAGCTGTTTGATTGACAGTGCCGCGTTGTCGGGCCATTCCTCCAGGAATTTGAACACTATGTTGACATCCTAAAAGGATCCGTACCTGGGTTTTGGTGGCCGTGAAAAACGTATACCTTTGAGTAAGCGACATATCAGGGGGTTCTGACCGAGGGGAGTCCCGTCCACAGTATCATGACCTGCTGAGATAGCAGACCTGTAGATGTTGACTGTACGGAATGCCTTGCCCGATTCGAACAATTGAGTGAGGAAGTCCAGTACCGTCTTTACAGAAGCTGATATGGGATCCACTGATCTTTCCAGGCACCAATCGGACCAAGTTCTCCATGCCGTAGCATATGCGCGCCTTGTTCCCGGTGCCCAGGCGTTCGCCAAGAGTTGGGTAGTTGTTCCCGAAACTTCCGTGATTTCCCAGGGTCCCCGGAAAGGAGCCATGCCATGAGTCGGAGGATTCCCCGTTCTATCAAGTCGTGATTCTCCCCATCTGGGTTGGTTAACAGGGACGTTTGATCCGGTAGTAACCGTGGGAAGTCGATCGCCATTTCCAGAAGGTGAGGGAACCAGGGTTGGGATCTCCAGCACGGTGTTATCAAGACCAACGAGGTTCTGTAGCGTCGAATGTATGTTAGAGTCCGAGCAATCAGGTTGAACGGGGGAAAGGCGTATGCTCGTCCCCCGGTCCAGTCCTGAAGGAAAGCGTCTGTCGCCAAGGCTTCCGGGTCCGGTCGCCAGCTGAAGAATTGAGGAAGTTGAGTGTTCAGTCTGGATGCAAAGAGGTCCACACTCAAGGGCCCCCATAGTCGAGCTATCCTGGCGAAGACTTTTGGTTGAAGCTTCCAGTCCCCCAAATCCCTCAGATATCGGGAGTTCCAGTCCGCGGTGTAATTGTCCAGGCCCGGTATGTGTTCCGCGGTCACCGACACATTGTTTTGTAAACAGTAATGCCAGAAGTCTCGAGCTAAAACCGCTAGGATGCGTGACTTGGTACCTCCAAGATGGTTTATGTACCTGACTGCCGAGACGTTGTCTAACTTGAGGAGGATCGAGCATGAGGCGCCCTTGGGTGTGAGGCTGCGAATGGCAAATGAGGCCGCCAGTAGTTCCAGTGAGTTTATGTGTAGGAATGATTCGTCTACTGACCATCTGCCTCCTGTGGATATGGAGCCGCAGCGCGCGCCCCAGCCATGTAAGCTTGCATCCGACTCGATTATCATATCTGGAGTGGAACCGAAGATTGCCCGTCCATTCCATGCTTCCATGTGGGTCAGCCACCAGTCCAGTTCCTCCCTGGATTCTTCGTCCAGCGTGATGTTGGATTCGTACGACTGACCCTTCCTTAGGCAGGAAGCCTTTAGGCGTTGTAGCGCCCGATAGTGTAGCGGTCCCGGGAAGATCGCCTGTATAGAGGATGCTAGTAAGCCGATTACCCGAGCCAGTTGTCTTAGAGAAATGTCCGAACGGTTCATTATCCTCCTGATCTCCTTCTTGATGTTGGACATCTTGTCTGAAGGGAGGCACAGGATTTGTTGTACCGAATCGACTCGGAATCCTAGGAATTCCATCTGTTGAGAAGGTTGTAGCACCGATTTCTCCCAGTTCACTAGAAAACCGAGGTTCTGCAGGAGGTGAAGGGTCCACGACAGGTGTGGCAGCAGAAGGGATCGTGTCCCAGACAGTATGAGGATATCGTCCAGATAGATAATGAGGCGAATCCCGTGTAATCTGAGAAATGCTACCACTGGTTTCAGCACTTTCGTAAAGCACCAGGGAGCGGAGGAGAGCCCGAAAGGGAGGCAACAAAAGCGCCATTTCTTTGTGCCCCACCGGAACTGTAGGAGATTCCTGTGTGTTGGTGCTATCGGGATCGTGAGATATGCATCTTGCAGATCGAGTTTCACCATCCAGTCTCCTGGGAGAAGGAGGTCTCGGAGGCAGTGTATGCCCTCCATTTTGAAATGCCGATATTGTATGAAGGCATTGAGGGGCCTCAGGTTGATAACTGGGCGGACACCCCCGCCTTTCTTCGGCACCAAGAACAGGTTGCTTATAAAACCTGGGGTATCTAGAGGGATTTCCTCTATGGCATTTTTGTTGTACAAGGTTTCTATCTCCGTGGAGATGAGGTCGTAGTGAGACTGTGGCATGTGTGGCACACGCGGGAGGGAAACCTGAAAGGGAAGACCCGTCAATTCTAGTTGGTAACCCTCTACAGTCTGCAGTACCCAACTGTCGGACGTGATAGTGGCCCACGTTTGAGAAAACAAAGCCAGTCTGCCCCCCACATTTATATGGGAAAAATGGGGAAAAATCGTACTCACCATAAGGGCGTTTTCCTGGGGTTGTTCCTCTGCCGCCACGGGCATTCCAAGATCTTCCTCGAGAAGGGAAGAACGGGGTGTAGGAACGTTCCTGGGTCTGTCTCTGTGTGTTGGAGGAGCCTCTGCCCGGTCTGGAGAAACCCCGGGGGTTGCGGCCGGATAGACGGCTCCTACCTCTACCGGCCCCACCGAAAACCTTTTGGTGGAATACCCTCTTCATGGATGATTGGGCTTTATCCAGCGCCGTGAATGTTTTGACATAGGAGCCCAGGTCTTTGACGAAGGATTCGCCAAACAAGAGACCCTTAGCCGCGGCCCCTGGTTCAGAGGAGGCCATACTAGCCAGCTTGGGTTCGATTTTCAGCAGGATGGCCTTCCTGCGTTCTGTTGACATGGCAGTATTAGCATTGCCGATCATGCAGACCAAGCGTTGGAGCCATCCAAACGCTACTTCAAAGTCTACTGGAGCCTCACCCGACTGAGCTGCTTCCAGCAGTTCGTATAATTTAGTGACAGGACCCAGAGTGTCTAGGAACTTGTCCTGACAATTACGGAGGGAGTAGTCCAGTCCCCTCTTGGCCTTCCAGCCTGTTTTGGCTAGAAACCGGGCTATCTGAGGGTCCACTTCTGGGGTTTTTGCCACAGCATCAGGGATTATGGGTCGGGGGCACTCCGCTCTCAATTTATTACGGCTCTCTTGAGAAAGGGACTTACGTACCCTGAGGGCTAGGTATCGGGCGATGTGTTCAGATGGTTCCCACTCGGCAGAGCGTGGGTGTCTTAAGTTGTCAGGGTCGAATAGCGTGACCTCTTTAGGGTCACGGGCTGCTTCTGCCTCGGGCGTCCCTGCATGAGCAGTGGTACGCGTTGCCGTCAAGGGGAACTGCTTTCCCTGGAGGCTTTCACCCTCTGAGAGCTCGTCCTCGTACGGGTCAGAGTACGGGGCGTCAGACCCCTCATCCCCCTCCTCGTCTGAGTCAGACAGTATATCATGGGCTCTAGCCCTTTTCCAGTCTCTGGTAGCCGTAGCTCGCCCAGAAGCTCTATTGCGCGGTTGTTGCGCGCCATCATGGACAGCCTGAGGCATGTCAGTCAGAGCAGGGTCAACCTGCATGGGGGGGGGTCTTGTGAATGTCTGCGTTTGGTTAACGCTTTGTGGCCTGGCAGCCTCCCTTCAGGAGGGGTATGGGTCAAGGCAGGGGTAGAGTGAGGTTGTACCTGTTTAAGCGCTTGCGTGATGGAGTCCGAGATGGTAGAGGACATCGCGCCCATGGCTGAAGATATGGCCTTGGAAATAGATTTGGACATGGTGGTGTCCAGAAGGGATTGGAATTCCTCAGAGCCCATGAGTCCAGGGTCTAGCTGAGGATCAAGATCAGTAGTGGCCATAGAGGGGCTATGTTTGCCAGGGCATTTATCACCAGATTGCATGGCAAGTAATAGTGCAAGTGAGAAAATAACAAATAGAAAATAAAGTGAAAATGCAGAGTACTAGGATTGATTAACCCAGGTACAGGATGGAAAAGTACAGGGAGATGGAAGGTTAATTCCAGGAATATATGCAGAGAGAAACAAAACTGTACTAGTAGGGGGGCTGCCGGAACGAAATCCGGTGAGGGAGGGGTCAAACGTCACTAAAACCAGGAGAGAAAATGGCCGCCGCGAGCTACCGCGCATGCGCGGAGCATGCGAGCGGCGGGAAACTGGGGGAAAGTGAATCGCCGCGCGGACGAAAGTAGGTCCGGCCGGCGGTGTTGTAAATAGTGCCGGGAAATGCCGCGGGTTGACCGATGGGTCCCCCGGGCGAAAAACCGGCAGGTAGTGACCGGGGAGGGAGCCCCAACCGGAGGGAGGGGGCTGGGAGATGGAAATAGTATGAATCCTAGGAAAAGAGAGAGGCCGGCCACCGCAGAATAGACACAGACAAATAAACACAGGCAGTGTGAGAAAAGAAGTGGGAAAAAACAGAGAAAAGGAGGGATAAACTGTATAAGGAGTATCCCCACAGTAATACCACAAGGATATAAATCCAATAGCTATAATATCTGTAGAAACATCCCACAGTGTATACATATAAATTACAATATGAGAGTGTACTTATCTTCTGAGGGAGCAGCGAAGAAAGAGGGAGAAGCATGGAGTGCTACACCTTATATACTAAGGGGGTGGATACCTATGAGCACTGTTCCATATGCTAATGTTATTGTTATTTTTTCTCTCTTTTGCATATATCTCTCTTCGCTGCTGAGGGAGAATTAAAGAAAGAGAAGCATAATAGGAGCCTCCGTGTCTTTAATAAAATTTACATTTCACATCAAGACCAACAGTGGTTCTATCAACACTGCCACCTACAGGTCTGTCAAGTACATTGACAATTTTCATGGGGTTTTACAAACACCAAAACACTGACACCTATAGGTCAATAGACAAACAACATTTCACATACCAATCAGTATCCAACTACACTGCCACCTATAGGGCACTCAACAGTTCTCCAGTGCACTTGCATTTTGCAACACCATGTTCACTGACCCCTACCATGCAATAAGACATACAACAATTCACATAGCAAGTACTATATCAAACATCTGGTATAAATACATATATTATTACACAGTAGCACACGCATCTGTATATATGTAACTGGTAATATAGTTCACATACATTTTTCACAGCATGCTGCTCACACAACAGACTTTCCCCTAGCAAGGGGACATACAACATACAAGGTGGGGACAGACCACTTTTTCACTTGTACATACGTATTAAGATAAGCTTGGTCTATGCCATATTTCCTTATGCCATACGGTTTTATCCATTCAGGTTACAGTTACTACTAAAAAACCTATACGGATTGTCAGGTTCAATACCATACTACCAGGTACATACACCTGCTCATGTAGTTATCCATCTCTTACCTTCCCTGTAATAGTAATAGTGTACTGGCAATTAGGGTTCTAGGGCCCAATAGGTATTACCCCCTTTTTTCTCTGCATTATGCTTCGGTTAGTGGTCCCGCGAGGCCAACACCCCGCCTCACACTCGGAGGCATACACCCCTCGGGCCACTCGTGAGCTAGCCGCCTCGCATTGTATCATAGAGAGGGCCTCACCTGTCACTCCCCTTCCTATTTTCTGGTTACTGTCACCGAGAGGCCAACATCCTGCCACAACGTTCGGTGGCCACACAAAATCCCCTCGCGCCAAGCATAGATAGAGCCTCTCAAGCCACTTGGCAACTAGCAGGGCCTCACCAGTCACCAAAAAACACCAAGCCTAATCGTTTCGCCTTACGGCTTAGCTAGCAAGCCAGTACAAGACGCCTGGGTACAAATAATAATTGCAATCTTTGTTATTTAAGTATTTCTCAAGAAGATGGTGAAGAATCACCTCTTCCTAGCACCCTGGCTAGCATTGATACACCTTCAAGCAGAGGAGATGTTGCTAGTCCAGCAGCAATCAGATCCTGGACGATCCCATGCATTACCACCAACCTATGGAGGTGACAAATCCCCTACCTTGCCACAGCAAGGAAAGCAGAGTTATTCAAACTCCTCCATGCATCAACGGACAACACGGAGGCAGGGGAAGGCCCTGCTACACCAACTCAGGTGACACCCAGGCCATGCTAGTCTCACTCAAACTCATAAACCAAAAAAAAAAAAAATTTATGAAAGACTGGCAATCTCGAGTCGGTCACCACAGCCCTCACAATGCTGGGCCTCACGCTACTGTACACCCAGCACCAACCAAAACTCTGTTACCTGGTACAATAAATTCTTATGACACACAAGACGTTAACCCTGCACGTATGATCCCAGCACATTGGGGAAGCAAGGCATATATATGTATGATGATGTATCTGTGATGGTCAGATCCAGGGATTCCAGGTAAATCAGGAACTGACCATCCCTTGGTTGGGTTGGCATTTGGAATATGTAGAGATATTTATTTGTGCAGGTACCCATACAGAAGGGATTTTGTTCCAAACAAATGGACGAGCACTCTCAGGCTCTAGGTACCAGCACCTCTGAACTACCAGAGACAATTGAATATTGCATTGCATATAGACTGTTGCATATATGTTCAAATGGTTCAGGGCACATGACAAACCATGTGTCCCAATACAACTTACAAATAACGTACTCACCATCTGTACACACCAATGCATTTTCAACACTCCTGACTCATCAACCTTCCAGACTTGTAATAGATTTACTAAAGCTCTGGAGCTTCAAAGGGCTCCCATACAGGCATCATAAATACACCTTCAAGGAATATAGCATGCCCTCACTTACAGTCAGCACAACAGAACCATTGGCTGTAAACACACTCATAGCCAAGATTTGCAGAGGGGTCTTCCAATCTCCACCATTTACAGCATGGCACCAAACACAAACACATTGGTATTGTCACAAGGAATCTTCCCTTAAACAAAGACTAACCATAAACTTATTGGCACCACACACCTCCGCTACCCCAAGTCTCAACTCCCTCAAACCCTCTGAGGAGTTTCCTTACTATACAACACCATTGATCTACCTTTACAGCTATCACTCAAGCATGGGTTAAAGCTTGGTTAAGTAAGACCAATATCATCAACGCAGTAAACGGCTACCATCTACCCTACACACTGGCACTTACATGGCATAAAATGGTCAATCCTTTCCCCGCTCAACTTTTGGGTTACAGATTAGCCTACTATCGATATTCGCAGATACTCTGTGCTGGTTATGATAACATATCCAGAGGCCTTACAGTCATACACTATCTAGAAGACTTCTTGTTGATCAAAGATAACATATTTTTCACTAGAAGCCTCACGGCAGCTTAGTCTGGTTGACCACTTGGGCGTCCCAGTATCCCATAAAAAACAGAAGGCCCAGACACATCAAATTACTGGGCATACGACTTGAGTCAGCATCCATACACACAAGTTACCACAAGACAAATAGGGAACACTCTCAACTACATCAATCACTACCTCCTGCTTAGTACTTACAACTGCAAGGAACTACAATCCCTACCAGGTTCCTTAATTTTGCCATGCCAATCATACCACAAGACCACACTTTCACATCCAGAGTACTTTCCCCCTTTTTCCACACTTCCAACATGACGATCAGAGGATGTCCCTAGACACCCCAGCAACAGCAGACCTGCACATGTGGGAATTTCTTAACCATTTTGCATGGTAAAAGCATGTTCCTTCCAGGATTGTCTGACACTTCTCCAACCAGATGTTCAGACGCGGCGTCTACCACGGGTTTGGCAGCGATCTACCAGGAACCATTACTTTGGAGCTGTTGGCCATGGCATCCAGGTTTGGAAGTTTTTCCACCACCTCAGCCCCTTTGGGGGATCTACCCCATTGTAGCAGCTGCTGTGGCATGGGATAAATCATGGTCAGGATCATCAATCCATTGTTACTCAGACAACTAAGCACATGTCATATCATCAACAAACGCCACTACTCATCCATAAGGTCATGATATTTCTGGGGAACTCACTTGGTTGGCAACTTATCACATTTCTTTTACTTTCATGTACCAGGCGGGGGTATACATCCCTGCCGACAATTGTCTCATTTATATTCCAGGCACGTTCATCATACGCTTCCTACAGCCGCGCATAGAGTCACGTCCACTCTTTCATTCCCAGAGACAAAATCATGGATTAGACACTCATGCAGCATAGCATGCACTATCCCACCTAGCACTTTTGTCCCATACTTGTAGAGCGCATAACACAGCTTTTCACCTGGCTTAAAGAATCTCATTGGAACACGACATAGCTCAACCTGTGTCATAACATTTCTCCTAGGTTTTTCTTCTTTTTGCCACCTTAAACTTAAACTATCTCACACACCATTAATTATATATTTTACAGGCATTCAACAACACAGGATAACCTATGGCCAAAACTACCATAACTTCATGCTATCATACCAGACAAGAAAATACTCAGAGGTTTTCAGGAATCCGTTCCCCCACGTTCCTCTCAGAGATTACCAATAGCCATCCAACTTTTCATCCTTATCGGACCTATTAGATCTACAACCATTCAATTATACTACCAAGTCGGCCATTACCAGCCATGCACATTTCCTTTTATGCCTTTCTCAGGCCAGAGAATCCACTACATCACCACCACTCAGACAGATCATTGTCTTTAACGATCCCACGTGCGTAAACACATATATCATTACCTATTGGCTCTACCACATTCCGAAACGAGTCAACACGCACCAACAGTAGAGATAACATACTATCCTACCCACAACAAATGGTGTCCACTTTCGGTCCTAGATTCCTACCTTCAAAATCCTTCCAGGAATTAAATACTGTAATGCCTTTAAGGAAATGTCTGGTTAATATGTATATATTTGTTGACTGTATTAAATCTTTGATTATTCATTTTTGCCCTCTTTATTTACAGGCCTACCGTATCGTCGGTCTCGGCACACCACAACCGACTTGCTCCCTTTATACTATCCTACGCTTATGCTGGATCCTTACTCCATATACGGCTATTTGCCCCTTACACAAGTATTAAGGCCATTTGGCCTGTATTTGTGGGAGGGGCTTAAATTAATTCACTCCCCTATATAAGGGACACCCTTTACCTGACTCATATCGCTTGAGGTCAGCATCAGAATGGCCCTCCCACCCACTCCTCATTTCAACACCTTCTCTTTTCTTTCCATTTACTTTACTTTCTTACTCCTTACTTTCTATATATATTGAAGTCGCCCTGAGCATTGTCCAAATATTCAGGACAAACACTCAAGGTCAGTATCTACATACGTAAATACTTCATTTCAAGAGACAAACCCCCTGCAGGTTAGAGAACTGGCTTCCTAGGATCAGGCGCTGGCCCTAGCTTTCCCAATTAATACTATGGTCCCGCAAGGTCTACACCCCCACCTCATACACAGAGGTTCAGCCCCACGACCAAATCATAGCTAGCCACCTCGCTCGCCCTTCTTTAGGGCTACAGTTTGGGCTTCCCAAGTCACGGCCACACGTTTTTGAAACTCTTACAGTTATCGAGAGGCCAACATCCTGACACCTCGTTCTGGTGGCCACAAAATCTCCTCGGCCCAAATCATAGGTAGAGCCTCTCACCGCCACTTGGCACTAGCAGGGCCTCACCTGTCACTTGGTTATAGGTAAGATTCTTCGTCTCGGCACTAGCTAGCAGGCCAGCTCTCCTGAAGTCTCATCCCACCTCCACTATCCCATACGTATCTATATCATTATTCCTTTCAGAATGTCTCAAGAACCGACCATCGATCCCCCATCAGATGATATACCCAGCACGACAGCAAGGCCTGGGTCTCCGGAGGAATCCCTCACTCCTTCTACTCCCAGATCCCTAAGATATTGGACCATTCCCAAAATATCGGCTGAGCTCAGGCTCAGGGGGATCCCCTTTCCAGCCACCGCTAGAAAGGCCGAGCTTTACAAACTTCTGACGGCTCAGGCCCAAGGCCCAGCACGAGTTCACAAGGGCCTCCAGTTGGCTACTCTGATTCCACCCAGGAAACTCTGGCTGCTATACTGGTCAATCTACAAACCATAAACAGCAGGTTGCTAAAGGTGGAATCAGCCATAGCCACTCCAGGTGACTCTACAGCCCCAGCTGTCCCTACACCGGTAACCTCTACTGCTCAGAATGACATACCCCTTATTTCCCCTCCCCCACCAGCCTCAACCACTCCCACTGCCCACGCCTCACCAGCCCACTCTGTCCCAGCTTCCATTAAGAAGGATATTCTTGATGGAAAGGACGTCAATTTAATGTCCCTCCTCATAGCCTCACAAGACATCCTAGAAAATAGAGCATATAACTATGGGGACATTTCAGTAGTCTTAAGAGCCAGATATCCACGTTTGAACAAAAAACTCACCATTCCACAGTTTATCGCTTTTGGCACTTATTGCAATGTTATTTGCACGGTGTACCCACATAGGAGAGAAGAGCTTGATTTATACATTCACAAGGTGGTTGATTTGGGCATCAAGTACAGAGGGTCCTCATTTTACGATTACCACAAATCAGTTTCGGCCAAGGCAGCTACTTATCTGGCACAGTTCAATATCAGAATTGATTGGTGCCAGATAGATACTGAGTTGTTTTGCCATCATTTTGCTGGTTTGAGGCCCCCGTCTTGTGCCTCGTGTGGTTCCACTTCACACTTTACCGACCTATGCCCTGGAGACACAGACCCTTCCACTTTCACCTCCACACCCCACCACTCCTTCACCCCACTCACAAGACAGGAAGGCGGCCAGAGAGACAAACTGGGCAGACCCATCACATTCTTGGGTAAGGCGCAGGTGTGCAATAACTTTAACACAGGCGCATGCAGCTACAGCACATGCAGGTTGTTGCACATCTGCTCCATATGCTTCAGAGCCCACGCCAAGACCATGTGCCCAACCTGTCTATCACATAACAAATATGTTGGTTCTACACGCACTCGTCACCAACTATCTGGTGTCGGGTCCTTCCCAAAGGCTCTCACATGGGACTCACGACCTTCCCCTCACTTTTCGATCACACGACATACACCAGGTGTTACCCGCATTTACGGCATCACGTACGGTGGACCACCGTTTGTCCACAAGCATACGACGACATCGCGTCCAAACCACGTCTCATCCCAATCGCACTTACCCCATCACGGGAGGCTACTTACTTGCACTCCAAGCAATAAAAGTTTGTTATTGACCTTTCGTATCTCTTCCCCCCCTCCCTCCCCAGATCCAGTATTAGTCTCTCTCATACCAAACGTATAGTTCTTGTTGTAATTTGCCTACATTCTACTATTTCAGTGGGTAGAAACACATGGTTAAGCAAGACAGGTATATCTTACACCTCAAATACTACCCCTCCTCTCTTACGTACTAACTTTGCAGGCCAGTTGCCTCAGTAACTCTGACTCATTATCATGGACGTATACTACAAGTCCCCCCTCCCCCCATGTTACGGACGATGCAGAGGGGTCCCTGTCCTCACTGGGGCCCGTTGGCATCGCGCCAAGAGTTACACTGTGGGGTTGCGCGTTGGTTTCTAAGGCTACTTCATTTTGCTTCACGGTATACCCATTCCCTGCCCAACCATTTGTAGATCCCAAGGGCATGCCTTCCCTCCGTTTTAGTAGACACCTGTGGGGGCCCATGGGCCCTCTCAGTCGAATGCCTAGTCTGTCTTTAAAGAAACATCCAACCCCTGGTGCCACAACTCAGCTGCTGACACTCTTTCACGCTCTTAATTTCAGGTCTCTGGCCAGGCTCCCCTTCCGGCCCACCTCCACACATCCAGGACACCACAGTTCCACTGGCCAATCCGGGTTTAAACAAACTATTACTCCACACACAAGCACTCACGCACCGCGCACTGTCTCCCAAAACCACTGTAGCGGAGAGCTGGTCTTTCACAGGTTAACTCCACTAAAGATCCCAGTGAGGCTCAGGAACAAGTAATAAAATTCCATAGAGTAATAATCCCAGCAAGCAATGTAATCCACGAATATTCCCATACAGATCCCAATGACTGGACGTCACACAGCATCAGGAGCAGAACTGAACTTTTAATCACACAAACTCCCTTTAAAGGTTTCTCCCATGCAAGGGAGGGATTCACATTAATTGGGACAGTAGCCAATAGTACAGTAGTTACCTCCCATACACCACCTCCCCTCAATGTGACACATAATCCACTTATACATGATACAGTTTTACCCGGTTTCTGGATGTACCCCAAAACAGTTAGGTACAATTATCTAAGTGGCACCCCCGGTAACCCTGATCTGGGTGACTAACATATTCAAAATTCACCCAGATCGGACCAGGGGTTCGGGAGTTAGGTGGAAGAGACAATTTGACCGACCGCACACTTACAAGGTGTCCTTTCCATCAAAACCATGGTGGCTTTTGCCTCCTTTTTGCCATCTACACCTAAAACTTTCACACAACACTATCAAACTCTACCTTACTGGAGTGCAACACCACATCCTCACTACCTTCCCTAACCACGCTCCTTTTCTATCTTCCTACCCCATCAAGAAAATCCTCAAAAGGTATTTTTAAGGTCACAGTTCCTCCTAGCACTACTAGGTTACCAATAGACATTCCAATATTCAGTCTCCTTAGCGATCTATTGGACAAATCCCAGTTTGACCATAGTACTAATTTGGTCATTAAATCCGACATCTTTTTGGCTTTCTACGGTTTCCTCAGACCTAGAGAGTTCACTGTGATACGTCAAGGAGACACAGTCCAATGTCTTAAACTTTCTCACTTAAAGAAAGTAGACGACCATTACATACTCTCCTTACCTTCAACTAAAACCAATCACTCTGCCTATCCCATTATCATTCCCCTCTTCCCTACCGAGAATCTGTGGTGCCCAGTACATATTCTGGATTTGCTCCTGTTATCTCACCACACGCACTCACCAGACACTCCACTACTTCCACTCCAAGGACACCCACTCACCACAGCTATATTTATTTCACACATCAGAACTCTCCTGTCAATGTTGGGCTACAACCCAGCTTCCTTCTCTGGTCACTCGTTTCGCATCGGCGCAGCATCATCGGCTTCAAGCACTAACACTCCGGTACACTTCATTAAGAGACTAGGACGCTGGAAAGTAGAAGTATAGATCAGGGTGTTGCTGTGGATGTGATCTCTATGGATTTTGCCAAGGCATTTGATACAGTTCCACACAATAGATTAGTGGTCAAACTCAGGGAAATCGGTCTAGATGAAAATGCTTGTTCTTGGGTAGAACATTGGCTTAAAAACAGAGTACAAAGAGTTGTCATTAATGGTAAATTTTTAAGCTGGACAGAGGTGGCAAGTGGTATTCCTCAGGGGTCTGTTCTGGGACCCCTTCTATTTCACATGTTTATAAATGATCTTGAAGACAGCATTGAAAGTCATGTTTCAGTATTTGCAGGTGACACAAAACTTTGTAAAATAATACAATGTGAGCAAGATATTACTTTGCTGCAGAGGGATTTAGATAGACTGGGGGCCTGGGCACTCAAATGGCAGATGAATTTTAATGTTGAAAAATGCAAAGTTATGAACTTCGGCGTAAAGAATACACAAGCAACGTATACCCTTAATGGAAGCGAATTAGGGATAACAACACACGAAAAGGACTTGGGAATTGTTATAGACAACAAACTATGCAACAATGTGCAATGTCAATCAGCAGTGGCCAAGGCCAGTAAGGTATTGTCATGCATGAAAAAGGGCATTCATTCTCGGGACGAGAATATAATTTTGCCTCTTTATAAATCATTGGTAAGACCACATATTGAATATGCTGTGCAATTTTGGGCACCTGTTCTAAAGAAGGATATTATGGCACTAGAAAAAGTGCAGAGGCGGGCTACAAAATTAATAAAAGGAATGGAACATATCGGCTATGAAGAAAGGTTAACAAATTTAAACCTATTTAGTTTAGAAAAACGTCGCCTGAGAGGGGATATGATAACATTATACAAATATATTCGGGGCCAATACAAACCATTGTGTGGAAATCTATTCACAAACCGGACTTTACATAGGACACGAGGCCATGCGTTTAGACTGGAAGAAAGAAGATTTTGTCTAAGGCAAAGGAAAGGTTTTTTTACTGTAAGAACAATCAGGATGTGGAATTCTCTGCCTGAAGAAGTGAAGAAGTTTTATCAGAGTCCATACAGATGTTCAAACAGCTACTAGATGCATACTTGCAAAAACAGAATATTCAAGGATATAATCTTTCAATGTAGGGTAATAACTGCTTGATCCAAGGATAAATCTGACTGCCATTCTGGGGTCAAGAAGGAATTTTTTTCCTACCTGGTTGCAAAATTGTGCTTCAAACTGGGTTTTTTTGCCTTCTTTTGGATCAACAGCAAAAAACAAATGTGAGGAAGGCTGAACTTGATGGACGCAAGTCTCTTTTCAGCTATGTAACTATGGAAATCCTCAATATACAACTCCTACATCCCTCGACCAGAAAGGGAGCTTAGGCAAGCTTTCAGAAATCTCGCTGTTTAAACTTGCAATAAAGTGTGTTTACTTCGAATTCCTTTTTGGCCCCCGTTTTACACGTCTACTTGTACGTTGGTTTCGGCACACCTGAACCAACTTTGCTTCTCCTCTACATTCCACCCTGATCTATTATTTTAGTTACCCAATCAAAAAAAATCAATAAGATTAGTTTGGCACGATCTCCCTGAAGTAAACCCATGTTGTCTCTGATCTTGAAATCCATGTGTTTTTAGCTGTTCAACAATCCTATCCTTTAACATGGTTTCCATTACATTCCCCACTACTGAAGTAAGGCTTAGTGGGCTATAGTTGCCCGACTCCTCCCTATTACCTTTCTTGTGAATGGGCACAACCTTCGCTAACTTCCAATCTTCTGGGACTACTCCTGTTAACAATGATTGGTTAAATAAATCTGTTAATGGTTTTGCTAGTACACCACTAAGCTCTTAATAACTTTGGGTGTATTCCATCAGGTCCCATTGACTTATTTGTCTTTACTTTTGACAGTTGAAATAAAACCTCTTCCTGTGTAAACTCACGTGTAATAAATGACTCATTTATCCTTTTTCCTAACTGAGGTCCCTTTCCTTCATTTTCATCTTTAAATACTGAACAAAAATATTCATTGAGGCAGTCAGCTAGACCTTTATCCTCTTCTACATACATTCCTTCTTTTGTTTTTAATCTAATCCTTGTTTTACTTTCCTTTTCTCATTTATATATCTAAAAAATGTTTTGTCCCCTTTTTTTACTGACTGTGCTATTTTCTCTTCTGTGTGTGATTTGGAAGCTCTTATAACTTGCTTAGCCTCTTTCTGCCTAACCTTATAGATCATTCTGTCTTCCTGACTGTGTGGGGGTTTTTTTATAACTACTAAATGCAAATTTTTATGTTTTTACTATTTTGGCCACATCTGCAGAGTACCACAGTGGTTTCTTGATTATTTTTTTTTGCTTTTACTGACAAGCCTAATGCAATTTTCTTTTGCCTTCACCAGTGCTACTTTTAAATAATCCCAATTTTCTTGAACTCCATTTAAATTGCTCCAGTCTGATAATGACTCCTCTACACATATTCTAATTTTAGAAAAGTCTGTTTTTCTAAAGTCTAAAACTTTTGTTTTTGTGTGGTGTGACTCAGTCACTGTTCTTATATTAAACCACACTGACTGATGATCACTGGATCCTAAACATTCACCTACAGTAATATCTGATACCAAATCTCCATTTGTTAACACTAAATCTAGTATGGCCTCTGTAACGGAGCTCCCTGTACTCTGACCGAGTACCCTCCGTTGATGGATGCTCCTAGCGCTTCCTGAGGACTCCAAACACTGCAGCCGACACCACAACCACCGCAGACTCCACAACCGCCGTAGCTTAACTGGAGTCTCGCCGTCTTCCTTCCACCCTGGATCAGCTTCTGTCCTCCAGGACCGTGTGGGGAAGACCTCTCCTCCAGGAGAGCGTAACAGGAACAGCTCTTAAAAGAGCTAAGTGATTAAAAGCTCAGGGGAGTATGCAGAGCATAGCAATCCCCAGTGTGATATAGCAGTTCCCTCCAATAACGAGACAAGGCTACGTATTGAGGGTCAAGAAGATCTGTCAAAACCTTTATTTCCCTTGGGACCAGCCAATAGGGTCACCACAATAACATTGTTGTGAAACCTCAATAAAATCACAAACAGTCAAACCATATCAAGCAACACACAGTTACTTATCACAACACAATGGCACATTTTTAAAGGGGTGGGGGGAGACAATATTTAACAGTAAATATCTCACCTGCCTGCAGAATTAGCAATATGCAAATCTACCCGAATATGCAAATGAACCAGTCTTGCAATTCAGGTAGTGCATATTGCTGTTGCTACCAACAGAGGGCACTAGACCAGCTCCATAGCCAAACCCACCTAGTTGGTAGCAAACCTCAGCAGTACAGGAGAGAAGGCAATACATTTCACAGTACACACACACACTATAAACAATTACATTACACACACCCTGCACCTATAATGGGTACAGGGTGACTAAAACATAAGATAAATAAAGCAGCCTACATAAATAGTCTGTCTGAAGGTAGACTAGGGGCTTTAAAGCCAGATACATAAAGAGTCATAGTCACAGGGGAGGAGGCTGGCAAGTAGGCCTCTCCAGTACCAAGTGGCGAAGGGCACTTCGTCACATATCTCCCCTTCGGGGGGAAGACTAACCAGGCACCTGACTTTCTGTCGGTCAGTGCCTAAGTTAGTCGATTCACCCACCGACCATACGCAAGTGCCAGAGTAGCCCACCCACAACAAACAGTTATTAGAGCAGCCCACCCACAGCAAACAGTGACTGCACCTGGGTATTCCTCTGGGGTGATGGGGCAACATGCTGTGGGGACTTGAGGGGCAGAGGCCAGCGGCACTCTGCCCTGATGCCAGTGCTTCTGCTGGGAGGAGGGGGTGCAGGCCAGTCCTGTGACAAGGGGATCGGTAGGGCAGAGGCCAGCGGCGGTCTGCCCTGATGCCAGCTCTTCTGCTGGTATAGCCTGCAGGACATCAGGCTCTGGACAAGGGACAAAGGGAGGGCAGAGGCCAACTGCACTCTGCCCAGCTGCCAGCTCTTCCACTGGGGGGCTTGGGACATAGTCCGGCTCAGTAGCCAGGGGGACGTGGTGGTCAGTGGGGGTTAACATCTCCCATGTTAACCCTGGGGCCAAGTTAGGAGTTAGCTGGGGAGGGGAATTTGTACTTACCCCCTCCTCCTGTTGTCCCTGTGAGGGTAGTTGGGGATCTGGACAGGCTGTCCAGCATCCCTGTAGGTTGGGCACAGAGACCACGGTCCCCTCTGCGCCATCTGGGAGATTGGTGTCTCCGCTTGGTAGGGTAAGCTGCCGCTGGGGAGATAGGGTGCTGTGCTCCTCTCCCTGAAACACAGGCTGCCGCTGGAGAGGGAGACCGCCTGTCTCCACTCCCATAACATTGTCCTGCTGCTGGAGAGAGAGACCAACTGTCTCTGCTCCCTGTAGGACACACTGCTGCTGGGGGGGAAGGACGACACCTCCGGCCCCCTGGAATTCGCACTGCCGCTGGGGAGGAAGGACGACACCTTCGGCTCCCTGTAACTTGCACTGCCGCTGTGGAGGAAGGACGACACCTTCGGCTCCCTGTAACTTGCACTGCCGCTGGAGACTAGGTGTCCATATCCTCAACCTCCACAGTTGTTGCTCAAAGGCCATTGCCGCACTGTTCTCAGCACTCAACTGGCGCATTACTTGGTGGACCACCTCATTCGAAAGGTCTGGGCCATAGCAGACCAACCGCCTCTTCACCTCCTCAATGTAAGCGTCGTCCTCGTAGCGACGTATCATGTTGAGGTGCTCTTCGCAGGACTCTATCCATCCCTGCTCCATGCTGCTGTAGTTAGGGACGCTGCACAGTGGCTAGCGTTGCCCTCAATAACCTCTCATACGATACCCGTGTCTCCGAGCTGCTTCTCCTCGCACTAGGACGCCATCCCACCGCTGCCACCAATGTAACGGAGCTCCCTGTACTCTGACCGAGTACCCTCCGTTGATGGATGCTCCTAGCGCTTCCTGAGGACTCCAAACACTGCAGCAGACACCACAACCACCGCAGACTCCACAACCGCCATGGCTTAACTGGAGTCTAGCCATCTTCCTTCCACCCTGGATCAGCTTCTGTCCTCCAGGACCGTGTGGGGAAGACCTCTCCTCCAGGAGAGCGTAACAGGAACAGCTCTTAAAAGAGCTAAGTGATTAAAAGCTCAGGGGAGTATGCAGAGCATAGCAATCCCCAGTGTGATATAGCAGTTCCCTCCAATAACGAGACAAGGCTACGTATTGAGGGTCAAGAAGATCTGTCAAAACCTTTATTTCCCTTGGGACCAGCCAATAGAGTCACCACAATAACATTGTTGTGAAACCTCAATAAAATCACAAACAGTCAAACCATATAAAGAAACACACAGTGACTTATCACAACACAATGGCACATTTTTAAAGGGGTGGGGGGAGACAATATTTAACAGTAAATATCTCACCTGCCTGCAGAATTAGCAATATGCAAATCTACCCGAATATGCAAATGAACCAGTCTTGCAATTCAGGTAGTGCATATTGCTATTGCTACCAACAGAGGGCACTAGACAAGCTCCATAGCCAAACCCACCTAGTTGGTAGCAAACCTCAGCAATACAAGAGAGCAGGCAATACATTACACAGTACACACACACACACTATAAACAATTATATTACACACACCCTGCACCTATAATGGGTACAGGGTGACTAAAACATAGGATAAATAAAGCAGCCCACATAAATAGTCTGTCTGAAGGTAGACTAGGGGCTTTAAAGCCAGATACATGAAAGAGTCATAGTCACAGGGGAGGAGGCTGGCAAGTAGGCCTCTCCAGGACCAAGTGGCGAAGGGCACTTCGTCACAGCCTCTTTACGAGTTGGCTCCTCAACGAGTATGTGTGCTCCAGGCACAAGCAGCTTTAATTCCTAAATGATCTAAATTGATCTATAAACAAAACGCCCTGGTTAACATGAAGTTGTTTTGGTTCTTAGAGTGTCGCTTTAAACATTAGATCATATCACCAGCAGTCCTCTCCTTAGTTAGGAGTGTGCTGATAGCTGTGTGATGTTTGCAAATGGCTGTGGGTATTTCAGCAGGGATCTAAGAGATCCTTACACCATTAACCATGTCGTAGATAAGATATAATAATGTGCTTTACCACCATGTAAGACATGTAGACACAGAAGTTTGAGCTTCATATCAAATGGAGCAAGTCATATGTCTTGGTCTATACAGCAACAGACTCTGCACATCTTATCACACATTGTAAACCACCTCCTTCCTCCCCTCTCTGTGTCCGTACTGGAATGGCAGCCCAGTCTGTGTATATTGTAAACCACCTCCTTCCTCCCCTCCCTGTGTCCGTACAGTAATGGCAGCCCAGTCTGTGTATATTGTAAACCACTTCCTTCCTCCCTGTGTCCGTACAGTAATGGCAGCCCAGTCTGTGTACATTGTAAACCACCTCCTTCCTCCCCTCTCTGTGTCCGTACTGGAATGGCAGCCCAGTCTGTGTACATTGTAAACCACCTCCTTCCTCCCCTCTCTGTGTCCGTACAGTAATGGCAGCCCAGTCTGTGTACATTGTAAACCACCTCCTTCCTCCCCTCTCTGTGTCCGTACAGTAATGGCAGCCCAGTCTGTGTATATTGTAAACCACCTCCTTCCTCCCCTCTCTGTGTCCGTACTGGAATGGCAGCCCAGTCTGTGTACATTGTAAACCACCTCCTTCCTCCCCTCTCTGTGTCCGTACAGTAATGGCAGCCGGGTCTGTGTACATTGTAAACCACCTCCTTCCTCCCCTCTCTGTGTCCGTACAGTAATGGCAGCCGGTCTGTGTGTACATTGTAAACCACCTCCTTCCTCTCTCTGTGTCCGTACAGTAATGGCAGCCGGTCTGTGTACATTGTAAACCACCTCCTTCCTCCCCTCTCTGTGTCCGTACAGTAATGGCAGCCCAGTCTGTGTACATTGTAAACCACCTCCTTCCTCCCCTCTCTGTGTCCGTACTGTAATGGCAGCCCAGTCTGTGTACATTGTAAACCACCTCCTTCCTCCCCTCTCTGTGTCCGTACTGGAATGGCAGCCCAGTCTGTGTACATTGTAAACCACCTCCTTCCTCCCCTCTCTGTGTCCGTACAGTAATGGCAGCCGGGTCTGTGTACATTGTAAACCACCTCCTTCCCCCCCTCTCTGTGTCCGTACAGTAATGGCAGCCCGGTCTGTGTACATTGTAAACCACCTCCTTCCTCCCCTCTCTGTGTCCGTAGAGTAATGGCAGCCCAGTCTGTGTATATTGTAAACCACCTCCTTCCTCCCCTCTCTGTGTCCGTACAGTAATGGCAGCCCAGTCTGTGTACATTGTAAACTACCTCCTTCCTCCCCTCTCTGTGTCTGTACTGGAATGGCAGCTGGGTCTGTGTACATTGTAAACCACCTCCTTCCTCCCCTCTCTGTGTCCGTACTGGAATGGCAGCCCAGTCTGTGTACATTGTAAACTACCTCCTTCCTCCCCTCTCTGTGTCCGTACAGTAATGGCAGCCGGGTCTGTGTACATTACTTGTAAACCACCTCCTTCCTCCCCTCTCTGTGTCCGTACAGTAATGGCAGCCGGGTCTGTGTACATTGTAAACCACCTCCTTCCCCCCCTCTCTGTGTCCGTACAGTAATGGCAGCCGGGTCTGTGTACATTGTAAACCACCTCCTTCCTCCCCTCTCTGTGTCCGTACAGTAATGGCAGCCGGGTCTGTGTACATTGTAAACTACCTCCTTCCTCCCCTCTCTGTGTCCGTACAGTAATGGCAGCCGGGTCTGTGTACATTGTAAACCACCTCCTTCCTCCCCTCTCTCTCTCTCTGTGTCCGGCATAGTAATGGCAGCCCAGTTCGTGTACATTACAAACCACCTCCTTCCTCCCCTCCTCTGTGTCCGTATTGTGCAATGGCAGCCGGTTCGTGTGTACATTAAAACTACCTCCTTCCTCCCCTCTCTGTGTCCTGGTATTAGGTAAATGGCAGCCCAGTCTGTGTATATTGTAAACCACCTCCTTCCTCCCCTCTCTGTGTCCGTACTGGAATGGCAGCCCAGTCTGTGTATATTGTAAACTACCTCCTTCCTCCCCTCTCTGTGTCCGTACTGGAATGGCAGCCCAGTCTGTGTATATTGTAAACCACCTCCTTCCTCCCCTCTCTGTGTCCGTACTGGAATGGCAGCCCAGTCTGTGTACATTGTAAACCACCTCCTTCCCTTCCTCCCCTCTCTGTGTCCGTACAGTAATGGCAGCCCAGTCTGTGTACATTGTAAACTACCTCCTTCCTCCCTGTGTCCGTACAGTAATGGCAGCCGGGTCTGTGTACATTGTAAACCACCTCCTTCCTCCCCTCTCTGTGTCCGTACAGTAATGGCAGCCCAGTCTGTGTACATTGTAAACCACCTCCTTCCTCCCCTCTCTGTGTCCGTAGAGTAATGGCAGCCGGGTCTGTGTACATTGTAAACTACCTCCTTCCTCCCCTCTCTGTGTCCGTACAGTAATGGCAGCCCAGTCTGTGTACATTGTAAACTACCTCCTTCCTCCCCTCTCTGTGTCCGTAGAGTAATGGCAGCCGGGTCTGTGTACATTGTAAACTACCTCCTTCCTCCCCTCTCTGTGTCCGTACAGTAATGGCAGCCCAGTCTGTGTACATTGTAAACCACCTCCTTCCTCCCCTCTCTGTGTCCGTACAGTAATGGCAGCCGGGTCTGTGTACATTGTAAACCACCTCCTTCCTCCCCTCTCTGTGTCCGTACAGTAATGGCAGCCCAGTCTGTGTACATTGTAAACCACCTCCTTCCTCCCCTCTCTGTGTCCGTACAGTAATGGCAGCCCGGTCTGTGTATATTGTAAACCACCTCCTTCCTCCCCTCTCTGTGTCCGTACAGTAATGGCAGCCGGGTCTGTGTACATTGTAAACCACTTCCTTCCTCCCCTCTCTGTGTCCGTACTGTAATGGCAGCCCAGTCTGTGTACATTGTAAACCACCTCCTTCCTCCCCTCTCTGTGTCCGTACTGGAATGGCAGCCCAGTCTGTGTATATTGTAAACCACCTCCTTCCTCCCCTCTCTGTGTCCGTACTGTAATGGCAGCCCAGTCTGTGTATATTGTAAACCACCTCCTTCCTCCCCTCTCTGTGTCCGTACTGGAATGGCAGCCCAGTCTGTGTACATTGTAAACCACCTCCTTCCTCCCCTCTCTGTGTCCGTACAGTAATGGCAGCCGGGTCTGTGTACATTGTAAACCACCTCCTTCCCCCCCTCTCTGTGTCCGTACAGTAATGGCAGCCCAGTCTGTGTACATTGTAAACCACCTCCTTCCTCCCCTCTCTGTGTCCGTACAGTAATGGCAGCCCAGTCTGTGTACATTGTAAACCACCTCCTTCCTCCCCTCTCTGTGTCCGTACAGTAATGGCAGCCCAGTCTGTGTACATTGTAAACTACCTCCTTCCTCCCCTCTCTGTGTCTGTACTGGAATGGCAGCTGGGTCTGTGTACATTGTAAACCACCTCCTTCCTCCCCTCTCTGTGTCCGTACTGGAATGGCAGCCCAGTCTGTGTACATTGTAAACTACCTCCTTCCTCCCCTCTCTGTGTCCGTACAGTAATGGCAGCCGGGTCTGTGTACATTGTAAACCACCTCCTTCCTCCCCTCTCTGTGTCCGTACAGTAATGTTTAGTGCATCAAGCTGAACTATTTTCTCCTTCCTATTCACAGGTCACAGCCCGGTCCCATGGTCTGTATGTGAGCCAGCCATAAGTAATCACAGTGATGGACTCATTGAGGGTGTTAGTGCACGTGCGTACACCCCTTTGATGAGGAGACGTGTTTGCCAAGGTCTTGAAGAGAGAGTGCAGCATTATGTCAAACGTGGAAGAATAGTGATGCCATCCGACAGAGAAGGAATATTGAGACTTGGCGATAAAGGGCTGTCTAAAGAAGACAAAAGCCTGACCTCTGTCGGAGCGGATAAACCTAAACTGAGAGACCAAGATATTAAGGCTGCGGCTGAAGGTGTGCCTGAAACAAGCCAAGACTTGCGTGACAAACCGAATAAAACCAAAGCAAAATCGTCTGACTGTGCCGAATGGACCTCAGAAGAAGATGGGAATTCCTTGCCAAGCACAGCAAAAAGGCAGTGTCTCGATGGTCACAATGATCTATAACTGGCTCAGTGCTGGGTACGGTATGCAGAGAAACTTAGAGCAAAGGATAATGCTGTACGCTCCAATTTGATTCCTTGAAAATGTAGTTATGCAGTCTTCTTTCCTAGTACAATTTTTCACATTGAACTTTTTCTGACGCGATCTATATTTTTCTTTTTTTTTAAATAAAATTAGTTTTTCTGTGTACAGTATGACCTCTAAATGTGCAATTTTCTCAATAATATTGTGGTATTTTCTTTATTACCTGGATTTTAGAAGCTGGGAAGATGTTTAATAGTTTATAAATCTCAAATACCGGTAACGTGTTAGATAACTCATATTATGGGTCTGACAAATCAAAGCTGAAGGGCAAGTTATTAGGGTTTTGTCATACAGGGTCTTGTGGGTGCCATCATGTCGTCAGTGGACATGGCTGAGCCTGGTACAGAGGGTTACAGTCATAGAATGGCCTAGAAATAAGTCACTTATTGATATATTTTCCCATTTATTTTGAGCCTGGTATCCAGTGTAAATTCATATTAATCACAAATTTTGGGAAACATGCCAGGCAATGTAGAAAGCTGGCTGTGTTCATCAGTTAGAAGTGCTGTGTTTCATATTATATGACTGCAAACACAGGGGTATAATGCATGGAAGGAAGCGACTCTTCTCAGACGGTAATAGCAAGCTTACCTGGGATAATTCCATACCTCACCATCCATGCCACCAATTAATTTACCTCCGTCCTATGCTTGTCCTTGGTAATGGTTGCATGAGGCCAAGTCCTACACATTGCCATAAGTAGAGATGAAGATGGCTGTGGGTTTTTGTTTTATTTTGTTGTTTTTTGACTTCTTGTAAATCTGGGGTTTCCTTTCTTCCTTTTAGTCTAAGCACCATTAAAGGGAACCTATATTCACCAAAACAACTTTATATTTTAATATAACAGTTTTGGTGTAGAGATCATGCCCCTGCAGTCTCACTGCTCAATTGTCTGCCATCCAGGAGTTAAATCACTTTGTTTATGTCTATACATCAAAAGTTTTCATTAAACTAAAGTTGTTTTGGTGGCTACAGTGTTCCTTTAGGGATTTTTTTTCTTCATCCTATCATTTTCTTTTTCTAAACATTAAACATGGCAGCATTTACTTATGGGTTCGGTCATACCCCCTCACAGCAGAAAGGAGTGGAAATAGAATTCTGAGCTTGGTATAAATATTAGGCAGTCTTTGTAAATAGACTCACAACACTCATAGAAGATGGGTGCAAATCAATTCCTTATGGTAATGCCCAAGCAGTATATATAGAGGGAGGGACAAAGTTCACATACCGTTAACAGCTATAGAACCAATATTTGTGCTGCCCAAATCTACTAAGCCTCAACCAAAGCCAAACAAGTAATCAATTGGATATTGTCATATCTTCTCAAACAAGTAATTGTACCCCTAAAGCTGCTGGACAGCAACCCCATGGTATTCAAACAGAGGTTATATCCTGGATAAATCTAGACTCAGGCAGGGATTAAAGTCATGTTAGCCAGACCTATAAATTGATATTTCTACGTCTATAATAATACATGACAAACTCCTGGAAGATATAAGACACATGACTTGCTATAGAGAATAATGAAATAGATTAGAGAACCTCCTTAAAATAAAGACACTGTCAGGAAATTATCAACATATTTAGGCAAAAGCAACAAACGTTAATGTCCTTCTCGAATATAGAGGAAATACTCAAAGGATGGCACTTTAAAATCAGAAACTGGTGAATTGCGAGCCCAGAGACTTAAGGCTCGAGCTAGCCCCTAGTCTCCAGGCTCGAGCGAGCCCCAAGACACCAGGTTTGATAGAGCCCCGAGACTCCAGACACCAGGCTTAAGCAAATGTACACAAGAAAAAAAATCACTCTATACTGAAAGGTAATAGAAACCATCCAAAGTAACAAACAAAATAGTGGAGTATATGGAGGTAGGAAAATACGAAGTAGAGCACTCACTGGACTTTCAATCATCTTCCACTTTTATTCCCCGTACAGTTATGTTACTTCGTTTCGTCTCTCCGGACTTTCAACAGGATAACTCTTATAAAGCTCCGGGGCCTGGCGCTATTCACCCACGAGTACTTAAGGAGCTAAGTGGGGAAATAAGTGAACCTCTATATTTAATCTTTCAATATTCTTTTGTTTCGGGTATTGTACCGGAGGATTGGAGGAAGGCAGATGTCGTTCCTATATTTAAAAGGGTTCAAAATCCTTGCCTGGAAATTATAGACCTGTGAGCTTAACTTCTGTGACTGGGAAAATATTTGAAGGGCTATTAAGGGATAATATTCAGGAATTCATTGGAAATAACTTTATTAGCAATAATCAGCATGGTTTTATGAAACCTAGGTCATGTCAAACTAACCTAATTGCATTCTACAAAGAAGTATAGATCAGGGTGTTGCAGTGGATGTGATCTACTTGGATTTTGCCAAAGCATTTGATATGGTTCCTCACAATAGGTTAGTCTTCAAACTAAAAGAAATTGGTCTAGATGAATATTCTTGTTCTTGGGTAGAACACTGGCTTAAGGATAGAGTACAACGAGTTGTCATTAATGGTAAATGTTCAAGCTGGACAAAAGTGGTGTCCCTCAGGGTTCTGTTCTGGGACCGCTTCTATTTAATATATTTATAAATTATCTTGAAATAGGCAATTAGTGTTTGCAGATGACACAAAACTTTGTAAAGTAATGCCTCTTTATAAATCACTGGTAAGACCACACTTTGAATATGCTGTGCAATTTTGGGCTCCTGTTCTAAAGAAGGATATCATGGCACTAGAAAAAGTGCAAAGATGAGCTACAAAATTGATAAAAGGAATGGAGCATTTTAGTTACGAAGAAAGGTTTAAAAAATGTAATCTCTTTAATTTGGAAAAACCTCACCTCAGAAGGGATATGATAACATTATACAAATATATTCGGGGCCAGTATAAACCATTATCTGGAAATCTATTCAAAAACAGGGCTATATATAGGACACAAGATCATGCATTTAGGCTGGAAGAAAGGAGATTTAATCTAAGGCAAAGAAAAGGTTTTTTTTTTTTTTTTTTACAGTAAGAGCAATAAGGATATGGAATTCTCTGCCTGAAGAGGTGGTTTTATCAGAGTCCATACAGATGTTTAAACTGCAATTGGATATTCAGGCAGAGAATTCAAAATCCTTATTGCTCTTACTGTAAAAAAACCTTTCTTCCAGCCTAAATGTGTGACCTCGTGTCCTATGTATAGCCCTATTTATGAATAGATTTCCAGATATAGGTTTGTACTGGCTCTGAATATATTTGTATAATGTTATCACATCCCCTCTCAGGCGCCATTTTTCCAAACTAAACAGATTAAATTTTTTTAACCTTGTTAAAAAAAAAGTTGACCAGATTGCGAATATCGAAGGATTTTAGTAACGTCCACGTACCTTAGCATTGTGTTTACCACACAGAGACGAGGAACCGCTGGAAAAAAACGGGTAATACTAGGATGTGGAGTTCGTAATGGTTCGATGTGATACTATAAAGGAAACTCAATCTGGAGATACCAAAAACCAGTCCACATCGAACGCTCGAATGTCGGAGACTCGCCGAAAGGTAATGAGACATAAAAGCAACGTGAGTTTGGCCGAAAGTTGTCGGAGTGAAAGGTCCGAGTCATCTGACCAATCTCGCAGAGAACAAAGAACTAAATCTACGTCCCATAGCCGAATATTCTTCGGATCTGGTGGTCTGGCAAGTTTGATACCTCGCAGTAAGCAGTATATCAAAGGGTCTTGACCGACTATTATGCCTCGAAGTGGAACGTGAGCCGCCACAATTGCTGACCAGATCACGTTAATGGAGCGGTAACGACCCAATGAAAACAGGTGAGTAAGAAAATTCAATACTGCAGTGACAGGAGCTGCAAAGGGATCGTTGTCCCTCTCCACACACCAGCAATTCCAGGAATTCCATGCCAAGATGTACCTACGTCTAGTTCCCGGTGCCCATGAATCCCATAGTAGGTCTGCAGTTGCTTGCAATAGGCCCTCAATGGACCAGGATCCCATGAAAGACTCCAGGCCACCAATTCCAAGCGTTCCTGCAGGATCATTGGGTGAGGTTCCCCTTGTGGATTCGTTAGAAGAAGGGGAAGGAGCAGTGGGTGGTCCAGCGATAGGGCCAACAGATCCGGGAACCACGCTTGACTCCGCCACAATGGTGTTATGAGTATCACTGGAGTCTCTGTGGTGCGAAGACAATGAAGGACTCTCACTAACATCGAGAATGGTGGGAACGCATATGCTCCATGCGATGGCCATGGCTAAAGGAATGCATCTATTGCTTCGCATTGCGGATCCGGGAGTCAGCTGTAGTATCTCGCTAGTTGTGTGTTCGTCCGTGATGCGAACTGTGCGCCCTCAACATGGCAAATTCTGATGTGTCCAGATGCCAGTCGCTGCTGTCTCACCAGTGGTAAATCGGTAAATATCTCTTGTTGCCTGTGATCTGGCTCTGTCCAGGCGGTTGATGTACTGGACTGGTAGTACAATGGACCGGGAAGATCGTTTGGCTAGAAGAAGACAATAGTCCCACTACTCTGGCGAGGAGTCAAAGGGGAATGTTGTCTTTCCGGAGTACACGTATCTCTTTTCGAATTGCGGCTATTTTTGTGGGAAGTCATAGCACACACGCTCGTGAGTCTATTTCGAGTCCGAGGAATTGGATTACTCGGGATGGAAATAGAGACGATTTCTCTCTGTTTACTACAAATCCCAAAGATTCAAGAAACCGAAATATAAATCTCGTTTGAAATTTCAGTCTGGGCGTGGATGCGCAGAATATCAGCATGTTGTCCAGATAGATGAGACAGCGGATTCCCTTTGCTCTTATGTGTGGCATGACCGGATTCAGAACTTTCGTGAAACACCATGGAGCTGTTCTGAGCCCGAATGGTAGGCACGTGAATTGGCATGGTCGGTCCTGCCAAATCAAGTGAAGAAAAGGACAGCTCTCTTGTGCTGTGGGGATGGACAGGTACGTGTCCTTCAAGTCCAAAGCGTTAACCAGTCGTTTTCGAGGAGGAGATCTTGTAAGAGATGGATACGTTCCATCTTGAAGAGGCGATACCCCACAAAACCATTGAGTTGGCGTAAGTTGATGATGGGTTGGTAGTCTCCCGTCTTCTTCTTGACCACAAACATACAGGGAGTGCAGAATTATTAGGCAAATTAGTATTTTGACCACATCATCCTCTTTATGCATGTTGTCTTACTCCAAGCTGTATAGGCTCGAAAGCCTACTACCAATTAAGCATATTAGGTGATGTGCATCTCTGTAATGAGAAGGGGTGTGGTCTAATGACATCAACACCCTATATCAGGTGTGCATAATTATTAGGCAACTTCCTTTCCTTTGGCAAAATGGGTCAAAAGAAGGACTTGACAGGCTCAGAAAAGTCAAAAATAGTGAGATATCTTGCAGAGGGATGCAGCACTCTTAAAATTGCAAAGCTTCTGAAGCGTGATCATCGAACAATCAAGCATTTCATTCAAAATAGTCAACAGGGTCGCAAGAAGCGTGTGGAAAAACCAAGGCGCAAAATAACTGCCCATGAACTGAGAAAAGTCAAGCGTGCAGCTGCCACGATGCCACTTGCCACCAGTTTGGCCATATTTCAGAGCTGCAACATCACTGGAGTGCCCAAAAGCACAAGGTGTGCAATACTCAGAGACATGGCCAAGGTAAGAAAGGCTGAAAGACGACCACCACTGAACAAGACACACAAGCTGAAACGTCAAGACTGGGCCAAGAAATATCTCAAGACTGATTTTTCTAAGGTTTTATGGACTGATGAAATGAGAGTGAGTCTTGATGGGCCAGATGGATGGGCCCGTGGCTGGATTGGTAAAGGGCAGAGAGCTCCAGTCCGACTCAGACGCCAGCAAGGTGGAGGTGGAGTACTGGTTTGGGCTGGTATCATCAAAGATGAGCTTGTGGGGCCTTTTCGGGTTGAGGATGGAGTCAAGCTCAACTCCCAGTCCTACTGCCAGTTCCTGGAAGACACCTTCTTCAAGCAGTGGTACAGGAAGAAGTCTGCATCCTTCAAGAAAAACATGATTTTCATGCAGGACAATGCTCCATCACACGCGTCCAAGTACTCCACAGCGTGGCTGGCAAGAAAGGGTATAAAAGAAGAAAATCTAATGACATGGCCTCCTTGTTCACCTGATCTGAACCCCATTGAGAACCTGTGGTCCATCATCAAATGTGAGATTTACAAGGAGGGAAAACAGTACACCTCTCTGAACAGTGTCTGGGAGGCTGTGGTTGCTGCTGCACGCAATGTTGATGGTGAACAGATCAAAACACTGACAGAATCCATGGATGGCAGGCTTTTGAGTGTCCTTGCAAAGAAAGGTGGCTATATTGGTCACTGATTTGTTTTTGTTTTGTTTTTGAATATCAGAAATGTATATTTGTGAATGTTGAGATGTTATATTAGTTTCACTGGTAATAATAAATAATTGAAATGGGTATATATTTGTTTTTTGTTAAGTTGCCTAATAATTATGCACAGTAATAGTCACCTGCACACACAGATATCCCCCTAACATAGCTATAACTAAAAACAAACTAAAAACTACTTCCAAAAATATTCAGCTTTGATATTAATGAGTTTTTTGGGTTCATTGAGAACATGGTTGTTGTTCAATAATAAAATTAATCCTCAAAAATACAACTTGCCTAATAATTCTGCACTCCCTGTATTGCTGAAGTATCCTGTGTCGTCCGGCATGAATTGCATCGCACCTTTGTCAAATAGTGTGTGAATCTCCTTGTCTATGAGGTTTATGTGGTCTTCCGATGCCTGAAGGGGGGGGTGGAAGTTTGGTCTGCACCAGTGTACAAACGAGCTCTATAACGTAGCCCCTTAGATCTTTGGAGATCTTTTCCCAGTTCTGTGGAAAGAGGGACAGTCTGCCTCCGGTTATACGTGACTGACAATGTAGTGAAAGAGGTATGCTCACCTGAGTTGAAACCTCTGCGTCCTCGTCCACAAGAGCCTCTGCCATGAAAGGATCCCCTTGTGAAGGCAGCCCATGATGATGGGAAGAAGGCTTGTTGCGTTTGATTTCTGGGGCCTGTGGACCAGAAACGGCTAGTGGCTCGACCCCTCTGCTGACCAGCCCTGCAAAAACACCTCTGCTCAGTGTAGGGTTGCGGAAAACTTGCTTTATGGATGTCTGAGCTTTATTAAGGATGGTAAATAGATTCATGTGCTTCTTTAGTTCCGCTATGAACGGTTTTCGGAATAAAAGCCAGTTCAACAGAGGACCCAGTTCCTTTTTTCCTAACTCCAACAGTTTGGAGTCCATCTTAAGCAAGGCCGCCTTGCGTCGTTCCACGCATGTGGCTACATTCGTGTTGCCGAGCATAAATATGGCCCATTGGAACCATTCTCTTATGTCATGGGCATCCAAAGTCCTTTCTCTATTCCCTTCCATTGTTGTAACACAGTATACATATACATATACTGAGAAACATGTACTGAGGTGGTGGCCTCACAGTAACTCATACATAGAGCATATAGTGGATACATATACTGAGGCGGTGTCCTCATAGTAACATCCAATACATTTGCCCTCAGTAAAGATGGCAAGTAGAGATGGCTACATCTAATACGTTCGCCCTCAGTAAAGATGGGGGCTAGAGATGGCTACATCCAATACATTCATGATGGTGTCCTATCAAATTCCCCTATCTCATGAAAATCCCCTACCCTCGTCAGTTCCGGTGAGGGGAATCAGCTGGGTCCTGTGCTGCACATGCATGCTAGCACTCCTGCTACTCCTCCACAGCCAGGTCCTGGAAGGTAAGTAATGCAGCCAGGTCCTGGAAGGTAAGTAACGCAGCAAGGTCCTGGAAGGTAAGTAAAAAGCTAGTTTTATACTTTCATTATAGTTAGTGCATTCACTAAGCTTTGGGACATTTAGGGTTAAGTGAGGGTTCAAATTAGGGTTAGGTAGGTGATTTTAACCTCTCTCACACTCTATTCTTACCCTAACCCTTGGGGTAAGGGTTAAAATAAAGTGTGAAAAATCACAATTTATAGATATTCCCCTAATGTAAAATATCACTAAATATAAATAAGTCCTTAATCCTAACCCTAATTTAAACCCTAACATTAACCCTAAATGTCCCATGTCCAAAGCTTAGTGAATGCACTAACTATAATGAAAGTGTAAAACTAGTTTTACTTATCTTCCAGGACCTGGCTGTGTTACTTACCTTCCAGGACATCACTGCGTTACTTACCTTCCAGGACATGGCTGTGTTAGTTACCTTCCAGGACTTGGCCGTGTTACTTACCTTCCAGGACCTGGCTGTTTTACTTACCTTCCAGAACCCGGCTGTGTTACTTACCTTCCAGGACCTGGCTGTGTTACTTGCCTTCCAGGACCTCGCTGCGTTACTTACCTTCCAGGACCTGGCTGTGTTAGTTACCTTCCAGGACCCGGCTGTGTTACTTACCTTCCAGGACCCGGCTGTGTTACTGACCTTCCAGGACCCGGCTGTGTTACTTACCTTCCAGGACCCGGCTGTGTTACTTACCTTCCAGGACCCGGCTGTGTTACTTACCTTCCAGGACCCGGCTGTGTTACTTACCTTCCAGGGCCTGGCTGTGTTACTTACCTTCCAGGACCCGGCTGTGTTACTTACCTTCCAGGACCTGGCTGTGTTACTTAACTTCCAGGACCCGGCTGTGTTACTTACCTTCCAGGACCCGGCTGTGTTACTTACCTTCCAGGACCCGGCTGTGTTACTTACCTTCCAGGGCCCGGCTGTGTTACTTACCTTCCAGGGCCCGGCTGTGTTACTTACCTTCCAGGACCCTGCTGTGTTACTTACCTTCCAGGACCCGGCTGTGTTACTTACCTTCCAGGACCCGGCTGTGTTACTTACCTTCCAGGGCCCGGCTGTGTTACTGACCTTCCAGGGCCCGGCTGTGTTACTTACCTTCCAGGGCCGGCTGTGTTACTTACCTTCCAGGACCCGGCTGTGTTACTTACCTTCCAGGACCTGGCTATGTTACTTACCTTCCAGGACCCGGCTGTGTTACTTACCTTCCAGGACCCGGCTGTGTTACTTACCTTCCAGGACCCGGCTGTGTTACTTACCTTCAGGGCCCGGCTGTGTTACTTACCTTCAGGGCCGGCTGTGTTACCACCTTCAGGACCCTGCTGTGTTACTTACCTTCCAGGACCCGGCTGTGTTGCCACCTTCCAGGACCCGGCTGTGTTACTTACCTTCCAGGACCCGGCTGTGTTACTTACCTTCAGGGCCCGGCTGTTACTTACCTTCAGAGGGCCCGGCTGTGTTACTTACCTTCAGGGCCGGCTGTGTTACTTACCTTCAGGACCGGCTGTGTTACTGACCTTCAGGACCTGTTGCCTTCAGGACCTGGCTGTGTTACTTACCTTCCAGGACCTGGCTGTGTTACTTACCTTCCAGGGCCCGGCTGTGTTACTTACCTTCCAGGACCCGGCTGTGTTACTTACCTTCCAGGGCCCGGCTGTGTTACTTACCTTCCAGGACCCGGCTGTGTTACTTACCTTCCAGGACCCGGCTGTGTTACTGACCTTCCAGGACCCGGCTGTGTTACTTACCTTCCAGGACCTCGCTGCGTTACTTACCTTCCAGGACCTGGCTGTGGAGGAGTAGCAGGCGTGCTAGTAACATGTGCAGCACAGGATCCAGCTGATTCCTCTCACCGGATGTGACGAGTTAGGGAATTTGATGGAACACCTGGTTACAATGAGAGAGACTGCATGTTCTTCCCTCAATAAATATGGCGACAACGCTCTCAGTGTTACCATTATCCTCCTGAAGTTACTGCCCAGTACAAAGATGGCGGCTCCCTTCCGTCTGACCTTAATAAAGATGGCGGCTCCCTTCCGTCTGACCTTAATAAAGATGGCGGCTCCCTTCTGTCTGACCTTAATAAAGATGGCGGCTCCCTTCTGTCTGACCTTAATAAAGATGGCGGCTGTCCAGAAAGGTGCTGCACGAGTTGCCCGCAGTTTAGCCGAGGAGATCAGAGCTAAGAAAATAATTAAACTTCCCCAGGTACAAAACGGGGGGGGGGTGTAATGGGCTAGTGACACTGTGTGTGTGTATGTCAGAGGGCTAGTGACACTGTGTGTGTCTGTCAGAGGGCTAGTGACACTGTGTGTGTCTGTCAGAGGGCTAGTGACACTGTGTGTGTGTCAGAGGGCTAGTGACACTGTGTGTGTGTCAGAGGGCTAGTGACACTGTGTGTGTGTCAGAGGGCTAGTGACACTGTGTGTGTGTGTGTGTCAGAGGGCTAGTGACACTGTGTGTGTGTCTGTCAGGGGGCTAGTGACACTGTGTGTGTGTGTGTCAGAGGGCTAGTGACACTGTGTGTGTGTGTCAGAGGGCTAGTGACACTGTGTGTGTATGTCAGAAGACTGAGTGACACTGTGTGTGTATGTCCAGAGGGCTAGTGACACTGTGTGTGTGTCAGAGTGACACTGTGTGTGTGTCAGAGGCTAGTGAGCACTGTGTGTGTGTCAGAGGCACTGTGTGTGTCAGAGGGCTAGTGACACTTTGTGTGTGTGTCAGGGGGCTAGTGACACTGTGTGTGTGTGTCAGAGGGCTAGTGACACTGTGTGTGTGTGTGTCAGAGGGCTAGTGACACTGTGTGTGTGTGTGTCAGAGGGCTAGTGACACTGTGTGTGTGTGTGTGTGTGTGTGTGTGTGTGTGGGCTAGTGACACTGTGTGTGTGTGTGTCTGTCTGTCAGTGGGCTAGTACAACAAGATATAATGTAACCAGCGCTTCTATATTCAATATACAATATACCATATGGTGAACAAATTCAATATAGATGCTAAAAAAAACATTCAAATGACTCCTTACAATGTCACAAATAGGAAATGATACAAGATATATGAATGTAGCGCTTTATATAAAAATAAATTAATGAATCACCTTGTACAGCTGTTAAAAGGAGATTATCCTAACAGGCACATCAAATGGATGTCTGTAAAAAAAACAATTACACATAGTGCATATCATACATTATAGAGTGATATAAAAGATTTATTTAAACTCTCAAACGTGGAGCTGTGGGCCCAACTCTAGTTTGATTAGCCTCTGGATCCGTTTAGGCGATCCACCCCTATTTTCGATTCTTTTCTTTATTCTATAAGAGAAAATAAGGGGCACAACCAATTGCGCAGTATTGCTAAAACATATATATAATATACAGCAATATAATCTTGAGAGTGAATATTCACAAAAGTGGAGTCATAAATTTAAAAAACACCGGGACGCGTTTCGCCATTATTAATTTGGCTTCCTCAGCTGAATAAAAGTCAATAAATGTCCTTAGGTTCCCTCCACCGGTTTAACAATATTGGCGAAACGCGTCCCGGTGTTTTTTTAGCTTATAGAGGCTTTTAAAAATTGTATATTTACTATAATACATTTTTATTGTTGTTCTCTCATCGATCCTGGTTCCCAGTATTATTCTACAAAGAGGGAGTGCAGCCCTTAGCCTGCACAGCGCTGGAAAATTGAGTCATTAATTTATGACTCCACTTTTGTGAGTATTCACTCTCAAGATTATATTGCTGTATATTATATATATGTTTTAGCAATACTGCGCAATTGGTTGTGCCCCTTATTTTCTCTTATAGAATAAAGAAAAGAATCGAAAATAGGGGTGAATCGCCTAAACGGATCCAGAGGCTAATCAAACTAGAGTTGGGCCCACAGCTCCACGTTTGTGAGTTTAAATAAATAAGATCTTTTATATCACTCTATAATGTATGATCTGCACTATGTGTAATTGTTTTTTACAGACATCCATTTGATGTGCCTGTTAGGATAATCTCTTTTTAACAGCTGTCAGTGGGCTAGTGACACTGTGTGTGTGTGTGTGTCAGGGCTAGTGACACTGTGTGTGTGTGTCAGGGCTAGTGACACTGTGTGTGTGTGTCAGGGCTAGTGACACTGTGTGTGTGTGTGTCAGGGCTAGTGACACTGTGTGTGTGTGTGTCAGGGCTAGTGACACTGTGTGTG